TCCTTCTTCACTGCCTCACATACATATTTTTAATAACATATGTTGTTTTTTAGTTTTCTCATACTTTTTTTTGATGCATTCCATATATTAAGTGGTATAGGAATGGTCTAAATAAACAAACAGAATAATAAAAGGTATCAGCCAGAAATAATATACTGCTGGGAAAAGTTGAAGAATGAACTTTTCTCTGTACCCGACTGTCATTGATGCAAATGAGAGCCCGTGGCTGGTAGGGGTGCAGATGAATTCCAGATAGGCAATTAATGGGCGTGCAACAGGTATGAGTGGCTGCCCTGCCCCAGGGCATTCTGACTTGTCTCCAAGCAAAGCCACAGCTCATGCATATTTTTGGAGAACAAGCACTTCTTAGGCACTTCATAGATCAAAGAATGAAACTGCCATTTCTGGGTCCCAACTGTGATAAAAATAGAAATATTATCTTGTTAAAAATGGGAAAACACAGAAACATCAATGCTGCCGTGGCTGGTTGGGAGAGTGAGTAAAAGCCAGGAGGTGACAGCATTTCATCTCCATGCAATGAAATCCTTCCAGAGTACCCAGAAGCCCTCTGTAGTGCCAGCTAGTTTGTCTTTCATTTGCTCATATAATTTTCAAATCTTGGCCTGGATAAATATCTTATTGACTGGTGTACAGAATTGGGTTAATGATTCTTTGTGCCTTATTGCATCAATGACTTTGAACAAGGCAACATTCCTCCATGGCGAATGCACTAATCCATTGCTAGGTTCCGATGCTGACATGAAACTATGCTTTGTGCTAACAGAACCAACACCATTGTTTGGGCTTTCAGGCATATAACAGACAACCCATGGTGTCTACTTTTTGTTTCCCATCTACTCACAGTATTTGGCCTCGTAAGCTCATAAATGTACTCCTGCTTCCATGGTGCAGTAGTCTTTTGAGGCTGAGCAATGGCACAAGCTGTAATTCTAGATCCTGGTTTTTCAGACTCAACCAACCATAGTTTGTGTGAAGCTCAAGTTGTTTGAACCATAACTTATGTCTGAACTTATCACACCCATTCAGAATGGGGCAGCTAGACTGGTGACTGGGAGTGGCCACCGAGACCATATAACACCGATCCTGAAAGACCTACATTGGCTCCCAGTATGTTTCCGAGCACAATTCAAAGTGTTGGTGCTGACCTTTAAAGCCCTAAATGGCCTTGGCCCAGTATACCTGGAGGAGTGTCTCCACCCCCATTGTTCAGCCTGGACACTGAGGTCTGGCTCCAAGGGCCTTCTGGCAGTTCCCTCACTGCTTACAGGGAACCAGGCAGAGGGCCTTCTCGGTGGTGGTGCCCACCCTGTGGAATGCCCTCCCATCAGATGTCAAGGAAATAAACAACTATCTGACTTTTAGAAGACATCTGAAGGAAGCCCTGTTTAGGGAAGTTTTTAATGTTTGAAGTTTTATTGTGTTTTGGATATTCTGTTGGGAGCCACCCAGAGTGTCTGGGGCAGGGTATAAATAAATGATGGTGGATAATGATGATGTGTGTGAGAAGTCTAGCCAGGTGAAAGATGTCTGTGACAGGAACAAGAATAATATATTTAGATCTCATAGCTTCAGACCCAACCAAGCGCAAACTCAACAGGGACCCATAACTAATCACCATTTCATTTAATTGCAAACATATTTGTTGCTTTTACATTTAAGATGTTAGGTGTCCACTTAAGGTCCTGCTTATGGGCTTTGCATAGTCATCTGGTTGGCCACTGCAAGAACAGGATACTAGATAAGCCCTTGGCTTGAACCGGTAGGATTCTTCTTAATATCTTATGTTAGGCACACATCTATGTTCTATAAAATATGATGTGTGTGAACAGCCCAAATAACCTGGTTAACGGTTGTGTATATTTCCTAGTATTGTATTGGTTAGTAAATCTTGTGGTGGCAGCAATGTTGACATCTGACCTTCCTGCTCAGTGTTTGCAAGGTTGTACAACATGTACAGTACTATTGCATAATAAATCCCAGCTCACACGTGTTAGGAATCATGAAATCCTGGGCACCTGGTCTCTTGATAAATGCCAGAAGGTGGGGCAGCGCTGTCCTTCTCACTTTTGCTTAGACTCCAGGAGAGCCTGTGTTTCTTCTTAAGCACTTACCGGTACACTGCTTACAGTTAAGTAGTAAACCCTACTTACAATTAAGTACTGTTACAAAGGTACTGCCAGAATGGTTCATGTCACAGGGATACAGACGATACGCATACAGAATATGTACCAAACTTAGAATCATAGAATTGTAGAGTTGGAAGGGACCATGAAAATAATCTAATGACTGCAGGAATCTTTTGCCCAATGTGGGCTGGAACCCATGACTCTGCGATTAAGAGTCTTGTGCTCTACTCACTAAGCCATCACAGAAGGCAATTAAATGTCAAGGATGTTAAATGTGCCTTTTCTTTTAATGGCAATTTTTTTTAAAAAGGCAAATTGCATCAGCTGGTGTGGTGGGGTGAGGACCACAACTACAATCAAAGCCAGCATGGAGGGATATTTATCTCTTTCCTTTCTTGTTGTGGTCCTGAGGCAAACCCCAGCTTTTAAAGGTACTCTTTGCTTTGGAAGAAAATCTTCCACTGGTGCCAACAGGAGATTTCCCTCTGCTCCCTGCTCCAAAGCAAATTCCATCATCTGCAAAGAAGACTGTTTAATTTTGTCTGGACGGAGTATTTGTCATCTGAGTCTTTCAAGGAAAATGCATTTTCTTCTTTTAAGTATTTCTGGTTTCAGCCTGGGCTAGGCAGGCGAGCTGATGTAATTCCCATAAATATACTCCATATGTCACTTTCTCTGCTGCTTATTCCAGGTTATAAAACCTTGGAAAAATCTGAATAATAATATGTGGAGAGTGGTTGGGTTGGCGAGAAGCATGTTGGCAAAATGTTACCAAATTAAGACATTCACCCTCTCTTTCTCTACCTTATTTATTTAGTCATGAACAGAAGGGAGAACTGTAGCGTCGCTTTTGCTGCAAATCCCTTGAAGCAAAATGGGCACAGGGGACTGTCAGGCCGGATAAAGATAATTTACTCGGATACAGACTTTCTTGAGTGACAGGGAAGCAATAGCAACGAAACTTACAATGGAATGCAATGGTCTGACTCGTGCTTCAATATTAAGGCACCTGCATTTGAATCAGCCATGTGTCATTATTAGTCTCTTGACTCATCACCAGCTTTCAAAACAAGATAAAGGCGGCTACGATCATTTCTTGATGCTTTATTAAATGGGACGCAGTCAGCATAGCCACATAAATCCTTCAATATTAAGCTGCGAATAGCAATGCTTTATTAAGAACCCCCACTCAAGCCACAGGAAACACAAGGAATAACGTTTCACTACCTCCCAGTGAATGGTGAGCAAGTACAAAGGACGATGGGAAATTCAATCAAGAAACAAATTCTCCTCTCTGTGAGGTCAGGCAATAGTATTATGTGTGGATGTGGTTTAGAGACAGCCAAATTGGAAGGTTGTTTTTTGATTTCCCTGTTCCATAGCTGGCATTTCCCTCAGCAAGCAGGTGTGCAAGATGCTCATTTTGCATAGTAAAATGCATATTTAAGGTCCTCCCACTGTCATTTGAAGCACTGCAGGCCATTAATTATAATTTTGTGGCAGCATACGAAAACACCTTTTGTAGCTAGGCAGTACGTAAGCACATTTTGAAAAGCCCTGGGCACAAAGAGCTTGCAAGGTAAGCAACAGATAAGAGACAACAGGTGAATGTAAGCTAAGGATGAATCCACGTAAAAGGATAGGGCTCAGCTCAGCAGCTGAAATATCCTTTGCTGTAAGATGTATTTAATAAATGGGACCATTTCCTACAAAACAGCCTATTTGTATTCCTACACTTATAAAAAGGCTCTTTTGTGTTCTTATAAAGGCTTGCTGGGAAAGTTAAATGTGTTATTGGCTGCAAGATGTCAGGGATTAAAAGCAGGTATTCAAATGCCATAGGTTAGTGGAATGAGTTATAGGCATTATTTAAAGCTCCAGTAAGCACATGGATACCTGGGAGGGCCAGGGCTCCTTTCTTCTGCATGTCAGAAACATTGTGTGCTCTATTTGCATACAGGGAGTAGGAATGGAGGAGAAATCTGATTCAGGTCACATTAAAAGCGAACACACATAAATCACACTTTCCAAAATAATAGGCGTAGCAAAACACAAGTCACCCTTGGAAATCAGTATTACTCTGACTTTTGAAACACAGTTTTCCAACCAAGTAATGAGTACAGAAATGCATGTAACATTAAAAAGGCATTATTTTAGGGGAAATTGCTTTGCAAAATTGTGTATGTTGAGCCAAACAGTGTGCAAACATGTGCATTTGCACTAAAATGCTGATGAATCTCCAAGAGGATAAAAATAAATAAATCAGTGTCTCATGTGGGGAATTAAACTTAAGATTGGAAAAAATCGAAATGGAGAGAAAATGAAATGGACAGATTTGCTGATCCCTAACATGGAGCAATCCCTACTTTGCTTTCTTGTTTTCTTGATCCACTTACCTGTCAGAGCTGTTGGTTTGTGGTATAGGTTTTAATCATGGATCAGGAGTGCTCTCACAATACAATTGCGTGTCTGTTGGTGTTTGAATTATTGAACTCCACAGGCCATAGCTTGGAGGCAGCTCCCATCCTTTGTACACTGGTTCAGTCCCCAGCATCTCCAAGTAGGACTGGGAGGACTCCTGCCTGTGATGCAGTAAAGCTGCTGCCTAGATAGACCAATAGTCTGACTCAGCATAAGGCAGTTATCTATGTTCCTCATCCCACTGGCTCCTCTCCTCTCTGTTTTAGCAAAATTGTGCTCTTCTGCAGCCTTCTCAGAAGTGTCGTTTAGGTGGGGCAACTCAAAATGGAATAGACCCCTTCTGGGCCCTTGTAATCCATAGAATCACAGCATCTGAGTTGGAAAGGACCACAAGGGTCATCTAGTCCAACCCTTGCAATGCAGGAATCTTTTTGCCCAATGTGGGGCTCGAACCCATGACCATGAAATGAAGAGTCTCCCATGCCTTAAAGCCCTATACCACAAAGAACAGGCACATGAAACCATTTCCCAACAGCCTTATTGTGCACCTGAAGAAGTTAGATGCTTAATGAGAAATGACACTGTCAGGATTAAAATAAAGCAACCTCTAAAATAGCTTGTGAAACAAGTAATGGAACACATGATTATATTATGAGAGTATATTACAGTAAATCTGGTTCCTTGATTATTGCTGAGCTTGATGAGGCTAATCTTATAAGAGCATTTTGAGAAAGTTAATGCTGATGAACAAGGAAAGACAATGCAGCATTTGGGAGATATGCAGACTTTTTGGCTATGTACTTACTGGACTGTAACAACAGATAAACTGGCATGGAATCCAGCTTTAATACCTACCAATAGGCTTGAGCAGGGCTCCTGCAAAATCAATCTCTCTCTCTCTCTCTCTCTCTCTCTCTCTCTCTGTGTGTGTGTGTGTGTATAAGAGAAACAGAGCTTACTCTTAATGGTGTGATGAGTTGCTTGAGTGAGTCAGGATAACTGCTGAGTCCCCTTTTGCCACCCAAATTTGCAGTGGAATACCAAACAGTCCACAAACATGATGTGAACTTTCAGTACAGGTGTTCCCTTGTTGCAATGATGTTGATGTGTGGCCAAGGTTGGATGGAGATAAAGATGTGATGGAGAGCAGCAGCCAGATATGCTATCCATCATTCCACAACTAAATTAAACATTGTTTTATGCTCTGTAGGGACTTAAGAGCATCTTAGGTTTGGGGAGAATGTGCAGTGAATCCCCGGACCCATTTCAAACGAAAGGTCCCCTTCATGGATACAGTGTTCAAGCACAACATCAAAGCGGAGGTGGATAGTCTTTATCAGGACTTAAGTAAAAAGGTTTGAGTATTATTTTGTAAGCAGATGGTTTGCCTTCTTCCCACACCATATGGTGTACACAACAGATGCATCACATTTCCTTCCTATTACAATGGATAGTTAACATCAGCTACATGTCCCTACTTGTATGATGTGCAAGAAAAAGTACTGTATGGAAATATAGGCAAGTACAGGTAGGTTCAGTCTAGCGGCTAGAATGTGAGCATTTGAGTGGGTTTTCAGCATCTGACACCTCAGCTACGGACTCACTGTGAGAGGGCATGAATCTATTTAAGTAAAAAGAAAAAAGCCTAATAAAACTGAAATGAAGCATAAGTGACTGTCTTCACTTAAGGATTGCAAAAAGAGAACTGGAGGACCAGACATGGAAGGAAATATGTATCCTAGGTAGGAGGATGCAGGGGGGAAATGAAAATGCATGTTTCCATTTGTGAAGGTTTTTAAGATACACAAAACCTTTAACGACTTGGACCCATTAACCTGTCAAGCTGCCTATTGTGGGGTATTTCCACACCTCCCACAACAACCTATTTGATATCTGAGGAATGCAGTTTTTTAATTATACGCATACACACTTTTTGCATACCTGGCCTCAGGGCTTTTTTTTCCCAGCCAGAATTCATCAGAACTCAGTTCCGGCACCTTTCAGGTGGGCGCCATTGCCATTCTAAGAGAATGAGGGAGGTATTAATGGTGGGTTCCAGCACATCTTTTCCTAGAAAAATAGCACTTCATTGCCCAGAACTATGAATGGGCATCATTTTTGCAACTGCAAGATAGGCTCAATTAACATTACTTCCTGTTCTCTCTAATGCTCAGTCAATGAAGATTCTGGGATATGGCTATACTTCTTGGGCAATGGCAGTGCTTCCATAATTCCACTGTAAAACGACACTCTGAGCTACTAGAAAGAAGGCTATGATACAGATTAATTAAACCAAAGGCAGACAGAACTAATTCAAGTAAAGCTTTGACCAGATGTCTTTCATGGCACTGGGTATTCTGTAATAACATGCAGAACTTTTGTATCTGCAAACAAAGGAAGCAAGGCGGAATGTTCCATGCCTATATTACATTCCATGCACATTGGCGTAAAATGACGCAGACTGTTCTGATTATGAAGGGACATTATTCTTTTCAGATTGTAGATTGGTTCTTTAAGTACTCGGATGTGTTGAAAGAGAGAGAAAATGACAAGGCATTCAAATCTGTAATTAGCAAACTTAAAGCAGCGTTTGCTAGAAATGAGATACTATCAGAGATGGTTAGTGACCTCTTGCTAGAGGAGGACTGAGGGTTTTACAAAGCATTTGGGGAAGCTGTTCAAAGCATTTGAGCACAACCAAATGCTATGGCTGAAAGGAAGAATTCAAACCTTAAAATTATGATGCAAAAGAAGAAGAAAAGCAAGAACCGCAGGCTCTTCCTCAGATTTCAGAGCGTTTTCTAAATGGCATGCTAAATTTCTCCTCTTAATATTGCACATAGCCATAACTTATCATTCATTCTACACCCATTTCAGATTTAGCAAAAGAACAGTCCAGTTACTACATTGGCAACTTGAGTCAGCAGGACAAGCAGACCCCAGCCTGCATCATTGCATCACCAGGCTCTGAAAAGCCACACCAAACGAATAACAGAATTCCTATGTTATGGAGAAGGGAATTTCAGCAGCTCGCAATCAAGGATTACAAAATTCTGTCAAAATGACCTATTCGGCACAACCGTTAGAGATATTGGGGACCTCCTCGGCCTTTGTGTCTAGGCATTCTAGCAATATTCCAGCATTTGACCCTAATCTTGCAAAGTTCAGTACAGGTTGTAAAATCACACCCGAAGAGGTTACAGTTGATGGCACACTGGGAGATTCAAGTGTCAGCACTGATATGAGATAATAGATCTGAAGACAGCAATGAGGCAGGGAGCAAACAGGGATGTAAGGCAGTGTGAGAGAGGTTAAACAGCAGTTTCACTATGTGACAGTCTGGGAACACAAGAGGCAAAAACAGATTTAGGAGTCTTTGCAGAGCATAGAGAAGAAATATTTTTGGGGGTTGGGAGCACATAGGATGGTATCAAAGAACCGTGAACTATTAAATATTTTTGCATGGGAGCAAATATTTTTTTCGCAGCCTATTTATCAGGCAATTATGGAATATACTTCTAGAAGGCAGCCGGTATTGCTGCTGACATTTTTATGTTTTTTGGTTCAGCACACAGTGATCCAGACCAAGTGATAGTCACATATACTAAGGCAGGGATGGGGAACCTGTAGCCCTCCAAATATTGTTGGGCAAAAACTCTCAACATCCCTGAACACTGGATTTGCTGGTTGAGGCAAAAGGAAGTTAAGAGTCCAACAACATTTGGAGGGACCCGGGTTCCCCATCACAGCACTAAGGCATACTATTTGAAATGTAGTGACCCTACATAACAGATGGGCGTGTATAGTTGTAAGTGGATATGAAGGTGCATTCCCATCCACACTATCAATTCTTATGGAAATTCAATTTAATAGATTATATCTGTGAAAGCACATCTAAATCCTCTGATGTTCACTTAGTTTTTCATGCAGGCCATGGGTCACCAAAAAGGCTCCCACAAGGATCTAGTTCTTGGTTCTTGCTGCTTTTAGGCCTGAAATCTATCTATCTATCTATCATCTATCTATAGTACACACACACATATACACATATACATATATAAAGACTAATTGTTGCTGTGGTGGTGGCATGTATGTTTCTGATTTTCCTGAAGTTTACAGCCAGGAAGAGAAATTTAACTCTCCAGTAAGATCATGGTCTTGCTGGTGATTTGCAAGGTGGGGAGAGCGGGTGTGCATGGCACTGTGATGCATGTGTAAATTGTAGTGTATGCAGGATGCTCACAGTTTTTCTGGTTGGAAATATGCCCAGAGACCCCCTAAAAGCTGATAATGCCTGATCTAGGGCCATGAGTTACATAAGGATCTTTGATTATAGGATGAAGGCATCCAACCAGAAGAAGCTGGTGTATTGTTGAATTGACATGTCCTGACCCAGTCCATGTCTTGACACAGATTTTCTCTGTTATTGGATTGAGACGACTGTCAGGAACACATGGGCAAATTTAGTATTCATACAGATTTTAGCAGCACTCCAAACAACTATCATTGCACTAGTACATTTGCCAATTTTAAAAATTGATTGATGTTTGCTGTCCATCAAATCATTTGGCAAATTTGCAAAAAACAAGATCTGCTACTGTCTGTAATAATGCCGTGGTATGTTTCCCTCTTTTTTACCTTTCCTGATACAAAAAGGGTGTTCCGAATGCATGGGGTTTGCTTTGCATTATTACCTTCAAAAATTAGATTGTTCAATCGTTATGTGAGTTATATAAAATGTACTGAAAGTATGGATTCAGACTCTGATATTTTACATTTTTATATGAAATTAATCTTACAGTTCTCATTACATGACCACTGGTTATGAAGTCTTACAGAGCAACCCAATACTGCTGGCTGAATGGGGCAGAGTATTTGGTAAAAGTCCAGATAACTTGAGATATGCTGCCAGTACAATGCCCTGCTTCAGGGATTGTAGAAAGAAAGGAGCAAAGTCCCTTAGTAAGTGCTCAGCCATGATGGAATTACAGGCTCAGTTTCAATTGGTCCACATCTGCCATGCCATGCCTCCCTGTCACCTGGCCCTTGTCTGTATGCTGCTGGGGTCTGAACACAGGTGAGCCACAGTTAGAAAATCAGGCGGACAGATTAGCACTACAGTCTTGGCAGAAGTCCACTTTTTCATGCTTCCACTGGCATTGGAGCTAGGTCATGGTGAACTCAGGTTCCTTCATCCTGGCCCAGACCCCCCCCCCCAAGTCTCTGTGTTGTGGGCTGTGAAGCTACCTATTGGGAAGGTTTCTCAAAAGAGAATGTGGCTCCGTGAAAAAAATGTTCATCACCCTGGTATATAGGATGGTTCAGTTCATGGCTTGAATGTATGCTGTATGTCACAAAGAGGGCCATGTAGGCAGCACTCCTGTTTCTCCTAGGTCACCCAAATGTCCTGGGTGCTTCACAGATGATAGATTGCACAGGGGGAAATCTTTTCATACACTTCTTATGCTGCAAATGGAGATCCACAGTGAGCTCTAATTATCCAAGAAAATTAATGTGGCTTGGGTAAGCCCATGCATGCTACACATGCACTAGTATTTTCATCAGAAGAAAGGAATTCTGTTAAAGAAATTGAACTGACTTAATTAGGACGGAACAGATTGGGAATTTCACAGTGTCAGTTCCATAAACATAGTCTATAATTTTTATTTTTATTTTTAATGATGACACAAGCCTTAACCCAAGAGATGAAAACAGATGTCATCCTGTATGGAATGCAACTTCAAGTAGTATTCTAGTAAAAATGTTTCAGACACAGCCACTGATACATTGACAGTGAGCCTACAGCCCACCCACACTTCCACTTGTGCTGTGCCTAGAAAGCATGGGGGTGAACGATTCCCCCCTTGCCCAGCTCCTTTGCAAGGGAAAAACTGCTCCTTAGCAATAGATCAGAACAAATGAAAATTTGGGGGGAAACAAAATTGGTTTGCTCTGATGGAGTGCTAAATAGTAGTTTTCCCCAGGGAAAAGCAGTAGGGTCAAGAGAAAGTATGCATGAGCCCTTAACCACTTCTTGACAGGTGACTGGGCAGCAACCAATGAAGCTGAATACTGAAGATTCAGGAAAGACAAAAACTTCATACAATGCACAGTTAACCTGGAATTCCGGGAGCAGCTTGTTCACTGGGGTGGAAGGACCTGCAACAAACAATGGCCTCCAGACCTCAGCAGTGCTGCCACTTACTGAGACTTACTGGTGAATCTGAGGCTACCAACGCATCCATGCATCCCTATCTTGCTCCCACTGAGATAATTTGCTCCCTTAAGATATAGTGATCCCCTAAGATGTAGCGATATTTGCCAGCTTGGATGGCTTTGAAAGGGTTTCAGTTTAGACATACTCATGGAGGATGAGGGTATCAGTGGCTACTAGCCCTGGTGGCTATACAGTGGTACCTCGGGTTAAGAACTTAATTCGTTCCGGAGGTCTGTTCTTAACCTGAAACTGTTCTTAACCTGAGGTACCACTTTAGCTAATAGGGCCTCCTGCTGCCACCGGAGCACGATTTCTGTTCTCATCCTGAAGCAAAGTTCTTAACCCGAGGTACTATTTCTGGGTTAGCGGAGTCTGTAACCTGAAGCGTCTGTAACCTGAAGTGTCTGTAATCCGAGGCACCACTACCACTGTATTTTACCTCCAATGTTTGAATTCTACATAAGGGGAAAACCTGTTGCTCAGGTTCTGGTTTGTGTGCTTCTCATAGGTATGCCATTTTTTCATTTAGCTGTTATTATTTTATCTGTAATCAAAACTTGAGTCTCTGTCAGGGCAGATAGTGGGGTGTACAAGCAAGCAAGAAGGAAGGCAGCCAGCCAGCCAACCAACCAACCAACCACTTTGTTATTCACCTCTTCTTCACTGGAGGCTTTTAAAGCGGAGGTTGACTAGCTACTAGCCAGGGTGGTACTTGATATTACTGCATTGCAGGGGGTTGGACTAGATGACCCACGGGGTTCCTTCCGCCTCTACGATTTTACCACGGCTCTGCTTCGTCGGCACAAAGGCTGCGGGGTAGCCAAGCACGTCTTGGGGAAAAAAACCCCATCTCTTAAGGGCGACGACGCGCCCTTACTCCAGGAACCTTCGCTTAGGGACCTGTGTGCCCGAGCGGAGCAGTCATCGCGCAACACCCTCCCACTCCCGCCTTCCCGCCAGCCTGAGGATTCTCTCGCTGCCAGGATGAAAAGGAGGGAGAAAGAGAGAGCCGGACGGGAGAGCGGCGAGGGAGCGTTCTCACCGCGCAGGCGCGCGCCGTCCTCGCAAGTTCCCCCGGGCGGGCGGCAGGTGGCGCTACCGGGGAAGCCTTCCCGGGCGGCCAATGGATGAAAGGAGGGAGGCGGAGCTCCGGCGCGGAGGGAGAGCGAGCGAGAGAGAAAGCGAGCCAGTGAGCCGGAGCCACGGTCGGCTCAAGTTGGTTCGCGCGCCGCGACGGCGGCAGCAGCAGAGAGCGAGGAAGGGGCGAACGAGCGGCTGGGCTGAGAGAGAGAGCGAGCGAGCGGCGGTTGCGCTGGCTGGGCAGGTAGGAGTTGGAGCCGCTGCTGCTGCTCTCCATTCCGACCCCTTGGAGCCCTTTTCGCTCCTTGCAGAGAAAGAAGGGGGGGGTCTTATCTGTCAGTCAGTCAGTCACCCCCCTCCCAATTTCTCCTCCCGAGGGTCCCTTCTGCGCCGGCTTTCCCCTTCTGCGCCCTCCCCACTGCAGCCCGGAGGCGGGACAGCGCTTCTCCCAGAGCCCCCCCTCGCCCACCCCACACTCGTCCACGCGCACCGTCGTCGCTCCGGCTCCGGTGTGGCTGCAGCGCCTCCTCTCCTCCTCTCGCTACTCAGGCTGCTGCTTCTAAACTGATTTTCAACACCCCCCCCAAAAAAAAAATTCTCTCCCCATCGCTTTCTAGGCAGGAACTCCCGTCCCACCCCCGTTGCCACTTCTCAGGATCCATTGCTCTCCAAATCTCTCCTTCTCCGTTCCTCTTTAGGAGCCTTTCCTACAGGTTGTAGGGCGGGGAGAGAGAGGGGGGCGGCGGCTACGGCGGCGTTTCTCTGTCGCCTAGCCCCACCAGTTGAAGCCCTTTGCCTGCCCCATGCTGCCCTAACCTTTCCTTAACGCTGCGTGGCGAGATTCGCATGCCTGTCCAAAGTCTCTGCTTTTCCCCCTCCTCTTCCCCTTCCTCCTCCTCTCCAGTTTTAAACTCTCCCGCAGCCTCCCCGTTGATACTTTAGGTCCTCTTTTTCTCCAACGTGTCCTTTAAAGATGCTCGCTATGAATTGGCTCGGGGGGTGTGTGTGCTTTCGTTTTCAGTTCATTGTTCGCTTTCCACTAGTGGGGCGATTGTGTTTGGTTTCTTGGCACGGCATCAGTTTGCAGAAGGTGGACTTCAAACCCGGGGGACTAGTATTTGGCAAGCCTCCTTCGCATCCTTTTTATCTTTCTCTCACACACCTTCCGTAGCTCAGCTGAGCTCTGCAGCGCTTTTGTCCCCTTTTTAAAAAACCATCCCGGACGATTTTCTTTCTACACCTGGGTTTTGCTCCCTGTTCTCCTGAGCCAGCAGTGTAGTTAGTGAGCAGTTCTTAGGACCATCTGCTGCACATCTTTTGCTGTGCATAAAAAGAAGGGAGCGACTTCATGTAGAGAGCTGAGTGAGGGTTGCTATTGCCCATACCCTTTTGTCAGTTTGATATGTAATACGATAATTCAAGCAAGTGTATTGTGGTAACTTTGTGATTTAATGTCTCTTTCCCTTCCCCGGGGAAACAGCAAATACAGAACTCAGTTTTCCCTCTTCCTTTATAAACAACAAATACATCTGAGCCTAACATAATTTTCCTTTGCCAGGGGGTGCTGTACCTATCAATTAAAGCTTCCACTATTTCATGTTTTAATTGTCCCAAGAGTCACTTATGCCATGGCACAGCAGTAAAACTGCTAGCACATCTGCAAAGCTAAGCACAGTCTGGTATGGTTTCAAATTGGATGGGGGATTGGACTAGATGATCCTGAGGGTCCCAACTCTACGATTCTTTAATTCTATGAGTGCATCAAGTTGACCTGCAAAAGCTTCTGCAAGTGTTAATTTAAGTTCTTCCATAGTTCATTTGAAATGAAGTTATGCAGTACAGCTGTCTTGATCTCTTTTAGGAAAAACCTATACGGAGACTGCATGTGCTTTTATCTAGCCAGACACCTATTTTAGTTTAAAACTTTGCTTCACCTTTGAAAATACATATTTGTCTTCTGTGGAAGAAATCGATGGACTAAGTGGATGTAGTAATGAAGGACTTTTAAAAAATGAATTAGATATTCATAAAGAATATTGTGTTGATAGTATGAGTAGAATACAGTATTTAAACTGTGCCAAGTGGTGCTTCTGAGAGCCATTCTACACATAGACACGGACTATGGAGGTAGAATTCTAGAATGTACCACTTCAGACTACAGGGGTGTGTGTGCGCATGCTATTTTGAGTATGCGCCATATAACAAGGTCCTTGAATATAGAATGCTTACAACCAAGGATTAAGGAGAAATTAGATTCAGTTTGCATTTAAAGGCGGAACTACCAAATTGCTCTTTCCGAAACAGTATATGAACCAAAACACAGTAATCCTTTGAAATGGATACTTCTCCAAATTTTGCAATGCTGTTAATTCTCCAGCTAAGCAGTTGTACAAAAGTGCACCTACTTGGATAAAGTGTGTATAAAAAGGCATATAATTGTGAAAATAACATACAAAGTGGCATTATATTGGGAGGTGGAATGCTTTGCCAAAATCTGTACACTTCATGACAGTGAGTTTAGGAGAATGTTACACTAAAATGCTGACAAATTTTCATGAGGATTTTTTTAAATCTGCAAATTGCTGCAGAAATGTGTAGAACTGAATTGAAGATTGGAAAAATGAAATAACCGAGAAAGCTGAAACTGGGAGATCTGTCTCTAGCTATTACATTGGGGAGAGGGATAAACTTTCCCCATTATCTGTTGGATTCCTATGTTCAAAGAGTTCTTAATTTGGGTTGCATTCAACAGTACAGCAGAACAAAGTACTAGACTGGACTGTCCTACTTGAAAGTTCACTGTACTGTAATACCTCTGCGAACGTCCGCCTCATCTAGCGTCCATTCCAGCGAACGTCCATGGCAAACCCGGAAGTACTGGAACAGGTTACTTCCGTGTTTGCCACTTGCGCATGCGCAGAAGCGCAAACCGCACCGTGCGCGCAGACTCAGCGCTTTGCCCTGTGTCCTTGTTGGCTAGCGGCCAGGGTTCCAGAATGGATCCTGGTCACAAAACAAGGTATGACTGTAGATACAAATCTAAGAGGGTAGGAAATGGTCTAGGTTTGAATTTTCTGCCTGATGTGCTAATTTTGTTTGTGTGGAACTTGGTTTTTTTATGTGGAAGTGCATTAACCATCTTGATCAGCTTTTTATGCTCTTGTTCACTTAGGCATTTGGCTGTAAATTGATGCCGTACGTTATGATGATACCCTAGCATGTTCTGATGGTTATCTTTTAGTAGGGTGGGGTAGTATTTGTCCTTCTTAGGTTATTGCAGGTCGAACATGTTCAGTCAGTGCCTTTATATCTTTTTGATGTTGGCAGCATCTGTCTGTCTTGGGAGACAGTGGAGGAGTGCACCTTGAGGAGTAAAGTCAAATTATTGGAGCGTTATAGTGCCTGTCATGGCTGTAGAGACCAATATGGGAGAGACATGTTTTATTTCAGGTGAGGCAGATGAAGGTGTCCAGTTTTGCTGCTACAGCTGCACCATGGCATTTCTTCCCTCTCTGATCTTTCTTTTTGATTTATACTAAATAGTTTATGTATCCTCTAATGTGAGGCACCTTGAGATATTTTATGTAGTAGGTGATGAACAATTGCAATTAATACTACTACTTCTAAAAATAGTATCACCTAATTTCCCATCATTCTGCTGCATGTGTTGACGCAGACTCAAAAGCAGCTGTAACACTGATGTCCTGTTTTGACATTTATGAAAGGAGGATTAGAGCAGACAGAATTTGTAGTGGGAGGATGCGAGTAGGATGTCAAGTAAAATCTTGTTAAATTTAATCTTTCAAGCAGGTGGCTGAAACTACTAGCACAGAGCATCAGATCACATGTGTATCTTTTATCTAAATGGTTAAACGTGGTCTTTTAATTATATTGGGTATATTGTGATACTAATTTTGATTGTTTAATGCAGATCATTATACTGGGATGATTCTTTGAGAATTACTAGGCTAACTGGGTTGTCTAAGTGGATTTTGTTTCTGCTATGCTGAAAAAAAATAATTGCACTGGAGGAAGAGCAAGTAAGATACTTCAACTGCAGTCATAAGCATAGTTAATAGGGTGTCCCCTTGAACTTCATATGTGTACCTCTGTGTAAACATAGGATGGGATTGCAGGGCGCTTGTTAGAATAGCTGTTTAACTTTAGTGTTTTTCTATTCTGCACAGTCTGAAAAAAATTATCTAAGATATTTTTTGCCTCTCATTAAATCTAAGTGTGTGTTAGTGTCAACAGTTGCACCATATAATCATTTTGTTCTAAAACATATTATTTTTTACAGATTTTATATCTATTCTCTGTGTGATTAAAATTCTTTTAAAAAAATGATTTAGTTTAAAGTTGTTTAATACACTTAAGTGTAAATGTGGTACCACAATGTGGGGACTAACCTTGGGGAAGCATTCCGTAAGTTGGGGGCCACCACTGAAAAAGCCGCCTCTCTTAAGAGGTGATCTTACTATCCTTGCATGTGGCATATAGAGCCAAACAGAAACATCTCTTATAACTAAACTTACACTGTATCAGATCCTTCCAGTACCCAGAGTGGTTCAAACTGCCTATATTCATTAATTACAACTCAGCTAAGAAAAAATGCCATTCCCATGAGATTTGATAGATCTTTGTATCCCTTTAGATCCACTCATTGTAGTTGGATGCATGCTTGTAGCTGATTTCTCATACTCTTATTTCAGATGAGATCCTCCAAATCTAATTACTTGTAGCAGAAGTTGGGGGAAGCTAGTAAGTAAGGCAAGCATGTATGAAGAGTCTAGCTCTGCAATCCTGAGGGTAGGAAGATTTAATTTCTTGTCAATAGCAAGTGACCTCACTATACTATTTATTTGGCAAATTTTATGCAAACCTACATTGTCTGTTGTGATTTTTTTAGTGTGCAGTGGCTGAAAACGGAAAAAAAAATCAGTGTTTATTTTTTATGATAGTTTTGTATGGTGCTGGGTTCTACACTTAAGTTTACATGGATGAGTGCCAAAGCACCAGCAAATGAGGACTAGGCAATAATTTCAGCTTCTGGACAGCTTTCAAACATATCCGTGTGTTACAGTTGTCTAGCAGGATCTGCAGTAGTCATGGTTGCTGGAGCAAGTTTCAGCTAAAAGGCACTGTGTGCTTTAATCATCTTAAAGTTAGAGTTTAGCCCAGGGTTTCCCAGATTTCTGAGACATTGAGTCCCTGATGAGCTTATAAAGTCACTGTTGGCTCCAACTCCAGTTCTTAGGAATGTAAATGAAATAAAGTAAAGAAATAGTGATGCATAACCAATATTTATTAATCTGAATTGATGGAAAAAAGGAAGCAAAAAAGAGGACGAATATTAATAATGGGCTTTAACAAACATATGAGCATTGGGCTGCAGGTTTGTGAGGTGCACTCAGTACATGCTCATGCCTTTTATATTTGAGATCATAGGTATTTTTATTTTTTTTTGCACTGTAGCTCGTGAACATCTTTTTCCCTTGGGCTGTTTCTGACCCCTTTTTGCTCCCTGCACAGTCTCAGTGACCTTGGGGGGTAATAGTGACAGCTTCCAGCCTAAATATTACTGAAGTGTGTAGTGTAGTGTAGTCTGTTTCATCAGGAAGGGAGCAATGTAACTCCCACCATTAGTCCATTCATCACCTTGACTAGAAAGGTAAACTACCATATTTTTCGCTCTATAACACGCACCCGACCATAACACGCATGTAGTTTTTAGAGGAGGAAAATCCGTAGGCATGCCACCCGTAGGCATTCCCTCCATAACACGCACAGACATTTCCCCTTACTTTTTAGGAGGAAAAAAGTGAGTGTTATGGTGCAAAAAATACGGTAGATGGTAGCAAGTATATGAGTCTAGGAGGCTAAACAAAGCAGGGGTTTCATAATATGCTCCTTTAGGAAGGCAGAAATTGCCAAATTCTTAACAGGAGGCATTGACTAAATCAACTTCTTTACCATAGTGACATCATCTAGAAAAAGCAAGAGCCAAACACAGATGTCGTTGACTGTACATGGTAAGAAAAAAGTTTCAGCTTATATAGTTAAAATCAGGAAGGTCCTGGAATCTCTGACGTAGAATCTGTAGTCAGAGTTAGTCAGAGTAAGGTTACCGTGAGAAATTTATTTGAAGTGCTGACCTTGAATTTTTCCAGTGGGTCATCATTACCCACTTCAAGGTTGTTGTTTTTACTGTGTGTGTGTGTGTGTGTGTGTGTGTACAGTGGTATCTCGGGTTACATATGTGTCAGGGAACTGCCATCGGAGCCAGGGGGAGAGGGAGGGCTCCAGAGGGATTCCGGAGAGCGTCCCGGGAGGGAGAGAAGCAGCACATCTTCTGGGGAAGGAAATCAGCGTAGCACCAGTGGAGAAGGGGGGCAGATGGGGGAATCAGCGAGGTGGCTCCATGACTCTTCGCCGGGGACCAGTGGGGAGAGCACGGGTCCTCCGCTGCCCACACCCTCCCTGCGCAGAAGGCTTCCGTGCAGGGAGACTAGGCGGAGACTAGGCGTCAAAGAACTTTTGTGCTGGAAGAAGTTCAAGAAACGCCCACTGACGGATTCTGCCAGCGATTGAGACAACCACGGGCGAGTGGCTGTCCGGACAGAAAAGGTTCACTCAGGCAACCCAGCCAGGTGGGGCGCCGATTTACGCACGAGCAACCCATTAGCTAAAGTGGTGCTTCAAGTTAAGAACAGTTTCAGGTTAAGAACGGACCTCCGGAACGAATTAAGTACTTAATCCGAGGTACCACTGTACAGACACATACAGAGACGCAGATATATATGAAATAAATAAGTCATAGGTTATTTTTTTTCATGGTTCTGTCCAGTATGTTAAAGGCCATTTAATCCATATGGGAAAGCGTCAATTGACTGTACTACATGTATGGGTTGGTGATAGCATTATGGTTTATTCTGTCATAGAGTAGGCTCAGTTGAATTTATTCCAAGTTACCTGTTGCTGTTACTCAGGTAATCAATTATTCAGGTAATCAGTTGCCTACCCAGTTCTTGGAACACAGTCCTCAAGTACCAAAGAGTTTAATGTACACTGATCCATTGAGGAATGCATGCCAGAGGATTATATTGGCTGCCTAAATGAGATCTGTACTTCAGATAGTACTAGAGTTGCAGTAGGATAGGAGGTGCAGTATATTTATAGTCCCTATTCAAGTTACTTCTTGAAACTCATTAGGCTTTGGAACAGTCTTAATAGACCCACCACATCTACATTAGAACGAACTGACAGTGTCAGCAGTCACCCGTTAATGTCCTGTACATAACAGTAGCTACTATTTTCCCTCACCCAGTTCAAAATATTGTACCAAATCTAGTTATGAGTTGATTGGTTGATATCTTAGCAGAACCTCATTCTGTTATTGAGTGTAAAGCCAGGCCATCTGTTTCATGGCATACTTGATGATGAAGACTGAATTCTTGTGCGTCACCAAAATGCTACTGCCACTGATCCCAGCCTGATGCTGAACAGTGAACCCAGCACATTCCCAGACCTCTTGGCTGGCTCAGCATTTTCATCTGGGAACAAGTCCTAAATGACCAAACTGTAACTACTGAGTTGGCTTTATAAGGTACCTACCACAAAGTTAGCAGGCACCTAACTCTGTGTGCAGGATTCAGGAAGAGCTGATAGGTTTTAATGTTCTATTCCCTCTTTCTCCCAGATGACAGCCCTCACTTTTCAATGTCACATACCCTTATTGTTGAGAACTTAGTTTTCATGGGCCTCTCCATCCCATTATGAGACATTTATATGTAAAATTTATACTTTCTCATCCCAAAAGTGCCCAGTGTGACTGACAATATAAGATGAAATGAAACCATATCCCATATGCAATAATTAATATGACAGTTAGAAAAATACAGTGGCTAACTGTACCTGCCCCTTTCCAAGTTCCTTTACAAATAAAAATGTATTCAATTTTTTATTTGAACAGAGCTAGGGTAGAGAATTGTCTGGCCTCTCCTGGGAATTCCAGAGACACCAGAGAAAGCCTTTGTGTTCACATCCTCCTAGACATCCATGGTATTAATTTAAGAAGGGCCTTTGCTTTTGTTGGTGGACATATGGAGAAGCCATGTCTTCAAGCACTTGAGTTCCAGGGAATTTAGGGATTTGTAGTATCAGTGTCTTGAAGATATGGGCAATTTTCAGTCAAATTGAAAGATAAAATGGAAGAGATAAAAAGGAAAGGAGTCATATGCTCAATTTCAATAACCACCTCTTTATTGCACTAAAAATATCCCCTCTTAACAGAGAAATGTCTATATTTACTGGCCATTACTATAACAAAGGTTCAAAACCATCTTAGCCCATTGTAGGGAACGTAACAAGGAATAGTAGATCAGTAACTAATATTTTCCTCTCATAGGTTGACGCAATAAAACAGCATCTTTTGACATTATCTTTTGGGCAGCGACCCAGCAGTGAGCTGCCCTCCCTCCACCTGCCAGTAAATAAATAATCATTCCCAAGTACTTAGAAGTCATTGTGGGAGGATATCCACCCAGTAAGAAGGCTTTGGTTCACTATAGAGTTGCATGGTACTCAGCATGAGGTTCAGTTGTAAAACGGTTGCTGTTGAGCTAGTATACCTGCTTTATTTGGGAAATGCCGTACTTTTCTATGTATAAGACTAAGATTTTTTCTTTAAAAGTTATGTTAAAAAGACAGGAGTGCCTGGCGTGCTCTGGTCCATGGGGTCACGAAGAGTCGGACACGACTAAACAACAAGAAATGTTAAAAATTGGGGGTCATCTTATACACAGATAGTGTATCCCCCCATTTTCTTAATTTGGAGTCCCCCCAAAATGGTGCGTGTTATATATGGAGGCGTGTTATACATGAAAAAATACGGTATATGAATTTTGAAGTGGAAAACAAATTGATAATTCAAATCAACCCACACTGTTAATAATCCAGTGAATTTGTATTTGATGCAGTTGAGAGAGGCAGCTGAGGAAGTCTGATCCCTCGGCAATCTTCGCGGAGCTCTGGCCCAATGGTTGCCAGTGGCTTGAATTAATTAATTTTATAATGAATTATTTTAGAGTGTTGTTTGTGCTGTACTTTTGTACTGTTTTATTGTTGTTAGCCGCCCTGAGCCCGGCTTCGGCTGGGGAGGGCGGGATATAAATAAAATTTATTATTATTATTATTACTATGATCAGTTGATATGAAGGCAGATGTAAATGAATAGTAGATATTGGTCTTGTTAATTTATGCTTGTCTAGAAAATTAAACAATGCAGGATTTTGTTATAATCTTTCGATAACTTAGATCACTCACCCATAGTGCTGTGCTTTGTGTCTTTCTGGTTGACATTTTCGTCTGTCACCTGTGGAGACTGTTGACCTTTGGTCTCTGTTAATGATTGTATAATAATGACAAACTAGTCAAATATGGCATCACTTTCAAGTTTTTAGGGCTGCCACTGACTCGCTTCTTCCTCTCCCCACCCCGCCCACATCATCAACCGCTATTTTTGTAGTTGAGTTATGTTTTTTGTCTTTGTAAAATGCTTGCCTCAACTTGAATTTCTGTTTAGTCGTTCAGATAGTTTCCATGCAGCTTTCAGGTTTAAGATAACTTTTCACAAAGAAAAATGTAAACAGAACATTTATGTTTTAAGTGGAAAAGTTTAAAGGGTCTTTGTGTGTAGAAATGTTTAGCTACAGTGATTATTCCCAAGGAATTTGCTACATAGGGAGTAGCTTCAGTCCATTTTGCAAATGCTGCTTTCTGTACTGCCACAGTCTTATCCTTGCATCTTAGAGGAGCAGATCAAAAAGTTTTTAATTTAGGCATAGTTAATTGTTTATTTTAGACTGCCTCAGTGGGAGAGAGGAGGAGTGGGGCTCGTTGAGCATGCGGTATATCTTGCCCCTGAACTTCTTCCACTCCAGCTGCCATTTGAACTTGAAGAATTGGTGCCTGAGTTTGCTTTTTCTCTATTGACTCCCTGTCTCTTTTCTCTTCTTGAACTGTCTCTTAGATTATAGTCCTGTGGGTAGAGACTGTCTTACTTTAATTGATTGTATTTAAGCTGCTCTGGAAGGGGTTTTGGCTGAAGGGCAACGTACAAATGCTATAAATAAACAGTTGCTTCCCAAGGAAACTTCATTTAGAAGTATCAAGAAAAGTTACTATTTGAATACAGTATATCAGTGGCTAAAGAAATCTCCACAGGACGACAATTTACCACTGGCAAATTTATCAAACAGAGAGAACAGTTCTTCTGAATAAGGAGTTAGTCCACAAAAGTCATTTTTTTTGGTGACATTTATGTGCTTAAGCATGCTTTTGTTTTTAAAACACCTAATGTAAGCATTAGCTTTTATATTTATAGCAAATATTTTTAAACATGAAAGGGCCCAAGTGCAGTACAGTCATACCTTGGAAGTTGAACAGAATCTGTTCCAGATGTCCGTTCGACTTCCAAAATGTTCGAAAACCAAAGCGTGGCTTCTGATTGGCTGCAGGAATTGGAATCTGCGGAAGCCCCGTCGGACGTTCGGCTTCCAAAAATAGTTCGCAAACTGGAACAGTCACTTCCAGTTTTGCTACGTTTGGGAGCCAAAACGTTCGAGAACTAAGCTGTTCGAAAACCAAGTTATGACTGTATACTGAAGCGGGGTTATGGGTGGAAAGTCCTCTGATTATTACAGCAAGTTATCGCCATGTAATATGCATTGCATATTACAGTGTCTTGTAAGTATTTATAGAATCTCTTCTAGCCATTTATTTAGCCTGACCAAGAACTATAGTTTGCACTAAGTAACTTTTTCATAAAAAGATTTCCAAAGATTACTGAAAGCCTTGTAACTTGATTATAATGATATACTTGGGTTTTCTTCTTCTTCTTTGGTGATTACTTGTAGCTGAGTAAGATTGTCTTCCATAAACACGATTTTAACAATAAGTCCGTAAGTGACTGTGGAGGCCAGTTCTGGATCCACACGTCCTTCCACAGTAGGGACATTGGTTTCCGGGTAGGAGTTGATCACAGTGTGGATTTGCCAAGCGTGCCTTCCTCCTAGCACGTTTCTCCCTTGCGTTCTGAGTTCGAGTGTCTTCAGAGTCCATGACACCTCTGGTAAAGGCTGTTCTCCAACTGGAACGCTCGCAGGCAAGTGTTTCCCAATTGTTGGTGTTTATACTACATTTTTTAAAAAATTGCCTTTAAACCTCTTTTGTTGACCACCAGCTCGTATTGGCCTGAATATAAGCCTCACTTTCCCCCCAAATTCTGACTGTGAAAAATTAAAGTGCAGCTTATATTCATGACCTTACGGTATGCAGCCAGGAACGTGGGACAAACAGCACCAGGAGTGCGGTGAAGCAACGCCTGCCATGTGCGTAGCTCCCCGTCCTTTCTCCCAAGGCTGGGAAGGGAGAGAGTGAGGAAGGAAGGGGAAAGGCCGCTGGCAGCGCTGCGCGGCTCCCCCCTCCCTAGTATGCAGCTAGGAGCAGCAAGGAATGGAGCGGCTTATATTCAATTATTTTTTTCTCTCCCCCCCCATTTTAAAGGTGCAGCTTATATTCGGGTGCGGCTTATATTTGGGCCAATACGGTATATAAAATTGTAGTATGGAAATATGTCCATGCAGTGGTATCTTCTCCATACATAGGCCCTAAGATTGTCATCCTGACTTAAATCTGAAAGCATGGAAAGTCTGACTTGCTGATTTAATTGAAGAGACCTCCTACAATAGCTATACAAGTGCCTTTCTTCTGCAATGATTTAGTTTCTTGGTCCTTGTTGCTATAACCTAAAAATGTACAAAATCATTTGAAGCTTTTAAAAGGATACTTGTTTGGACAGGTTATTAATGGGCTTTGCATAAAAGTAGCACTCCCAGTGCAGTTGTTAAGTTGTGCCAGTGAACAGACACTGTCAGATATTACTCCGTATCCTCAGTGATACTTAATTCTTTCCCCTCATAGATAAAAGTAAAAGAGAAGGTTTATTTTTTCCAAATGCAATGGAGAATTGGCAAGCTAGATTTTTTTTTAATAAAAAGCATGTCTTCTACATTCAAATTTCCTAAGAAATATGCAGCTTAATCTTAACATGAGTATGATGAACATAAAAAAGGACATTTTAATCGGACACATGGTGTGGACTCACTTTGACTGACTAAAGTGTTAGCCCTTAGTTCACTGCTATTTCTGTGGAATGAGGAATTTCATATCAGCAAGCATAATCTCTGAGAATAACTTGTACTGTTTCGTTTTACAAGATTTCTGTTTGTCTTGTATGGATTTTGCCTTGGACCTTCTCAAGAACCATAGAAGAGAGTAAGCAGTAGCGACTTAAGCTGCTTCTGTTCAGGCTTATGGGTATCATTTGAAGCAGGAAATTGCACCTGTCCAATTTAGTGACAGAATATTCACCACCCTTGAGCAAGATATGGATGGTTCGGAAGATAAAAAACACATTATGTGCTCTCACTGGGACATGAAGTTGCTTATAAAAGGAATTTTAAAGTAAAGGGTTTTTGATGTAGCAGCAAGCACAATACTGCATGGGTGATGCAGTTCGTACTATCTCTAATTTTACAAGACTTACCAATTAACACCCCAAAGTTACTAGGCATGTATGATACCCGTATGAAGCGAGTGAATAGTTTTACCACAGGGTTGCTGCATTGACTTCTTGGGAGGGTCTGGCCATGTTTTCCACTTTCTGCAATTTGTCAGACTGCATGAATCATAGAATCATAGAATCATAGAGTTGGAAGAGACCACAAGGGCCATCGAGTCCAACCCCCTGCTAAGCAGGAAACACCATCAGAGCACTCCTGACATATGGTTGTCAAGCCTCTGCTTAAAGACCTCCAAAGAAGGAGACTCCACCACACTCCTTGGCAGCAAATTCCACTGTCGAACAGCTCTCACTGTCAGGAAGTTCTTCCTAATGTTTAGGTGGAATCTTCTTTCTTGTAGTTTGGATCCATTGCTCCGTGTCCGCTTCTCTGGAGCAGCAGAAAACAACCTTTCTCCCTCCTCTATGTGACATCCTTTATATATTTGAACATGGCTATCATATCACCCCTTAACCTCTCCTCTTCTCCAGGCTAAACATGCCCAGCTCCCTTAGCCGTTCCTCATAAGGCATCGTTTCCAGGCCTTTGACCATTTTGGTTGCCCTCCTCTGGACATGTTCCAGTTTGTCAGTGTCCTTCTTGAACTGTGGTGCCCAGAACTGGACACAGTACTCCAGGTGAGGTCTGACCAGAGCAGAATACAGTGGCACTATTACTTCCTTGATCTAGATGCTATACTCCTATTGATGCAGCCCAGAATTGCATTGGGTTTTTAGCTGCCACGTCACACTGTTGGCTCATGTCAAGTTTGTGGTCAACCAAGACTCCTAGATCCTTTTCACATGTACTGCTCTCAAGCCAGGTGTCACCCATCTTGTATTTGTGCCTCTCATTTTTTTGCCCAAGTGCAATACTTTACATTTCTCCCTGTTAAAATTCATCTTGTTTGTTTTGGCCCAGTTCTCTAATCTGTCAAGGTCGTTTTGAAGTGTGATCCTTTCCTCTGGGGTGTTAGCCACCCCTCAAAGTTGAAAAGATGACCAGCTTTCCATGGTAATTCCTCTGTGCCTGTGATGATAACACACACACACACACACACACACACACACACACAAACACACTCTTACTTTTTTACATTCCATTGGTTTCAATTTGAATTCTAACCCACATATAAACATTCTAAACAAATAAGGTATCTGTTTGTTCTGAGAAAAAGTTCATGTGTGTGTGAGAGAGCGCGCGCGCACTGAAAAGAAGCAGTTTTGAGTTTTTTGAACAGTGTCAGAGACATGCGAAGAGAAACACGTTAAAGGGTTTCTATTCTTCCTATTGCAATGCGTGTTGAAACTGAATTTGTAAATGACCGTTTGTTATAGTGATATTGTAAATCACCAGGGGTGTCTCCCTTTCAACAGACTCTGAATTTTCCATGATGTGGGCAAAGAGACCAAGGAACAAAACAACCACCCTTCTTTGTTTCTAGTTCCGTGTCACAACTTTCCTGGGGGATAAGACTGATAGCCAGTCTATTATTATTACTTGTTTCATTATCCAGTTTAAAAGTATGGAGTTACAGTTGAGGACTGTGGTTTGGTTTTGGTTCTGTTTTTTGTTCAATGCTTTCCAAGCCCCAAGTTAGATGAAAGATTCCTGCATTGCAGGGAGTTAGACAAGATGATCCTCTTGGTCCCTTTCAACTCTATGATACTATGAATTCTAATAAGAGATGCTAAGTGGGACATACTCTAGTACACTCTAATAATTATTTTCAATATTTCAGCATTGACTTGCACCAGCACTTTTCATTGACTACATAACTATCATAGAAGTAAACATGAATAATTTTTGTTCATGTGTAGTCTTCCAGTAGGACTACAATAAGTAAATACATTTAGAATTTATGTAGTAATAAATCAGAACAAATAAACAGCAATGCTTTGATTTGAACCACTTACCGTATTTTTCGCTCTATAAGACGCACCAGACCATAAGACGCACCTAGTTTTTGGAGGAGGAAAACAAGAAAAAAATATTCTGAATCCCAGAAGCCAGAACAGCAAGAGGGATCACTGCGCAGCGAAAGCAGCGATCCCTCTTGCTGTTCTGGCTCCTGGGATAGTTGCGCAGCCTGCATTCGCTCCATAAGACGCACACACATTTCCCCTTACTTTTTAGGAGGGAAAAAGTGAGTCTTATAGAGCAAAAAATACGGTACTTCACCAAACCTTTATTAGGCATTGCAAATATAGGCCATCATAAAACATCAATATATAAAATTTTAAAATATGTACAAATAAACAGCCATGTCAGAACGAGGATTTTCATTGGAGTTTCTTCCCGCTAAATAGTGGAATTCACCACTCTGAGAGACTCAGTTGATAAAAGCTCAGCCACCCTTGCAGTTACTTTGGCATTGAGTTTGCTTTGGCAGATGTTAAAGGAATATAAATTCTGTATTAAGATCAGCAAGCGTTGATTGATTCCTAACTCTACAAGTACGAACTGAAACAAAGGACAGTGATCAGCCCTTCCCTCTCGGGGCAGGAAACTGCGAACTCCCCTTTTTCCTCTGGAAAGTACTCATGGGGAGGGGGAAAGGAGGAACCGGCCAGGTGACAAGACACTCAGGTTACCACCACAACACCTCCCCCAACCCCTCCTTTTTGTGATGTATCAATGATGTAGTCATGCTGTAGTTGTGATGTAGTCTTAGGGGTGTAGCATGAGGGATTAGTAGCTAATAAAAGTTGGGGTCTCCTTTTGTTCAGGGCTTCCATCTTGCTTCATCTTGCAGTGGGTGGGAGTCCTGTCGCGGCAGTCTTCAATAATGACCAAGCCTATTGGCTGCTGTTTTGCTCCAATTGTCCTGGTTGGTGTCTTTACTTTTTGTCGGATTTCTCCGTTAACAGTAGAAAAATTGGGTTAGATGTTGTGGCCACGACAGCATGTAGGCTCAGCCCCAAGATTGAGATTGTAAGATGAAGATGTTCCTCTGAGGTGCTACAGATATTGACGTACGCAATATTTAGAATCTTGGGATAAAGAAACAATGGTTTCTTTCTCCATTATTTTTTTAAAAGAAAATGAAGTCTGGCTTGTAATCCAGGTGTGACCAATACCTCAAACAAAACACACAGGCAGAGAGCAGAAGTAAACAGAAATGGGGTATTCTGTTATCATTGCAAAGCCAGGAGTTAAACCAGTTAAGTAGTAATTGCTGCTTTATCTCAGAATCCTAGGTGTGCAGCCAGATATTGAAGCCCCTCCTTTCACGTTCCATTTTGGAAGTGAGTGTACAAGCTGACCTCATGGATGCAACACCCTACTTTTTTCTTTGTTTTCCCTCACCCCAGTATTCCCTGCTTTGTGTAATATTTTGCCTGCTGAAGAATTCTGGAGAACATAAAAGCTTACCACGTTTTTGTGTCATTTTGGTTGGTCCTAATAAAGATACTGCTTGACTGTGGACTTTTGGAGTGTTTTCTTATGGACCAGCATAGCTAACTTAGTTTATACTTATACAGTGGTACCTCAGGTTACATACGCTTCAGGTTACATATGCTTCAGGTTACAGACTCCGCTAACCCAGAAATAGTGCTTCAGGTTAAGAACTTTGCTTCAGGATGAGAACAGAAATTGTGCTCCGGTGGCGCAGCGATGGCATGAGGCCCCATTAGCTAAAGTGGTGCTTCAGGTTAAGAACAGTTTCAGGTTAAGAACAGACCTCCGGAACGAATTAAGTACTTAACCCGAGGTACCACTGTACTAGCATAAAACGTATACACACTTTCTCACACATTAAGACCAAACTCAGAAACGCTGATAGCTGTTTGACTGATATTTCCCTTCCAATTATGCAGTATTTTACTATTCCCATTAAACTGTGGCAAAGCAATTGATTGGTAGCAAAATATCTCATGCAGTAGCTGGAGGAATGGATATAATGGGAATGTCATCCCTTGCTATACAGATTGGTCTAGGAAATGCTTTCAGGAGTTTCCTTGACAACTGATTTCTAGTGCAAGAACAATTTTGTATTATTACCTTGAATAAAAGCTGTAGCTTTTATCAACCTGTGCGTGCCTCTTTTTGTAGTTGCTGGTACAGTGTCCAAAGAATAGCACAGCGGAAAGCAAAGACTGAAACTGGTAGCAGGAGGAAATAATGTAATGACAGGACAGATTTCCCAGACATGCAGATTATGTGATCAAGTCATCTAGGCTTGCCACACATCGCTTCTTCATTGTGCATGGAACATGTATTTTAAAAAGTGTGTGTGTGTGGTTTATTTGTTTTTAAAGCCTGAATAAACTCCTTTACCTCATCATTTTCTCTGCCTCTATAATTTCCTGTGCTCCTAAATAGTACCTTGCTATCTAATTGCATATGTTAAGTTATTCCCAAAGGCCATTAATTAGCTGATGGCCTACGTTGGAGAGTGCCTTTTGGCCCCTTGGCATTTATGCTGTGAAGTGCCACATGACACTATTTAATCCTCAGTGCAGTTGAATATCTATATGAAACTGTTGGGAGTGTGGAGTACGGTGCCATACATATGCTGACAACACTCAACAATATTTCTCTGGAACATGTAAAATAGCAGAGATTGTGTGGATCCTAGATTGGTTCCTGAATGCAGTGGTGTGCTGGCTGAGGAAAAATAAACTGACCTTGAATCTTGACAAGACAGAGGTGCCGTGGATGAGAAATTGGCTAATTACCTGCAGTCTGGAGATGCTTCTGGATCTAGCTTTGCCACCGGAGGCCCATATGGCCTTGGTGGCTAGCAGCACCTCTTGTTACCTTAAGGCAATATGATGGCTATTGCTGTTCTGCTCAGTCATATCTCCTGGCTGTCAGTGTATCTCTGTGGAACTAACTTGCCTAGAGTGAGGAGAGAGTAGATAGAATAGCATTAAGTTGCCGAACATTCAGCTTGTACTACAGTTGTACCTTGGGTTACATACGCTTCAGGTTACATACGTTTCAGGTTACACACTCCGCTAACCCAGAAATAGTGCTTCAGGTTAAGAACTTTGCTTCAGGATGAGAACAGAAATCGTGCTCCGGCGGTGCGGCGGCAGCAGGAGGCCCCATTAGCTAAAGTGGTGCTTCAGGTTAAGAACAGTTTCAGGTTAAGAACGGACCTCCAGAACGAATTAAGTACTTAACCTGAGGTACCACTGTAGTTCCACATTAGGTGGTCCAACCTTTGCACATCTTGTCACCACAGGGATACTGAAGAACAATCTTGCCTTGAGGAAAGGAGAAACAATACTTAGAGAACTTGACTGAAGAGCAGTCATAATGCAATGAACACAGAGACCTGAATGCAGGCAACTGAGAGCAAATATCTAAGGGAGGTCTTAAGTCGCATGCCAGTTTGGAGAAAAATGGTTCTTTTTGCTTTGTCCTACTTACTAATGCTCAAACTCAGGACGAAAGGGAGAAACGTGCTAAGAGGAAGGCACATTTGGCAAACCCTCATCGTGGTCAACTCCTGCCTGGAAACCTAGGTCCCCACTGTGGAAGGAGGGACTTGCGGATCCAGAATTGGCCTCCACAGTCACTTACGGACTCACTGTTAAGACCGTGTTCATGGAAGACAATCTTACTCAGCTATGAGTGATCACCAGAGAACTACTATTAACACTCACCTGTTGTGACATAACCAGGGATGAGAGAATTCCCACTATTCCATTCCTTATTGTAGTTGTTATTCTGTATTATGAATCTGACTTGTCGTTTCCTTTCTGTTCTGCTATTCTGTGTTGTATCACACTCGTTATAGATTGTTAGGGTTTTTTTTTTAAAAAAAATATCATGTAAATTGTTTTGAGATGCCTGGTTTGAAAAGAGGCATACAAATACTACAAATAATAAGGTGTTCCTGTTAGTATATAAAGCCCTCAGCAGCTCCAGGCCAGTTTACCTTTTCATATTCATGCCCATTTATCCAGTTTGATCTGCAGAACTTACACTTCTGCAAGTGCCAGATAGTGTTCATTCCACATCTGCCAGTAATTAATATTTTAGTCTGGCAGGACATATTCTCTGGAACACCCTGCCTATTATAATCAGGCTGGCATCCTCACTATACTTGTTTAATGTCTTCTAAAACTACCCAGACATAGGATTTTATTAGGTATACTTGTTTTTAAAATTTTGTTTTTAATTGGTACTTTCCCATAAACATTTTACAATATTTTATGTAAACAACTTGCATTTTGTTCCCTTTATTGGCATGCCTGTTCAAAACAGTGCTCAACATGTTTTGTGTGTGTGTGTGTAAAATTCTGTCTAGGTTGTGCTTTTAAGATGTGTGTGATAAGACAGAAAAAGCAAGAGATTAAGAATAACATGACACCACAAGTTCGTAATATTCTTTGAGCTACCCTGGAGTGGAACTGCAGGGAAGCCAAAGCATGTTAACACTATGAAATAAAGGATCTCAGTCTCTTTGCCTGAGAACGTGCAAGGAATTTAACTCCAGTAGATATTGAACGCAGCATATAATCCTTCTTAGTTCATAAGAACATGATTACGTAGCAACTGTCTTGATGGGTCAGTCCAAAGGTCTGGCTAGTCCACCGTCCTTTTCCCCACAGTGGCTGACTATATGCCTATGAGATTCCCACAAGTGGAACATATACACAATGACTTTAGTGTGTGATTTTCAGGGCAAAACTGTCCCCAAGTACTTTGCATCAGAATCATAACAAACACTATGTCCTAAGCCATTAGAATATTTGCAATTTCACCAAGAGCTTTTAGCTGGTACTTAGAAGTTTGTGAAATATTTTTGATTTAATAAAAATGTTTTCCCCATAACAGGAGATAGTGGGAATTTTTAAAAAGTGGTCTTTTACAAGGAGTGCAGAGAAAGGATATTTTCCTTAAAATAAAGTTCCATTTTTTTTAATGACGCAGCTGTTATTCTTATCTTTGGGCCTTGTGCAGGTCAAGAACTTGTTGTTATTCAAAGAAATGCTGAGCACTTTGCTTTTAAACAGAGGAAAGCAAGGCATAATCTCTGTTCCAAATCTCTCCAACACTTCCCCTGAACAGTTTGCTGCTCACTTCCAGCACTGCAATTTGTAATTGAAAAACAAGTGAAACACATGATTAAAGAGTTAATACAAACAAATTATCAATTGTCTTTTTCTTTCTTATGTTTGCATTCTATCTTTTCCCAATACTTAGGACTTAGGACTTTATGATTTTGCCATAAGTGAAATCTTAATAAATAAATAAGTAAGTATCTTTGCACTAACTCTGTATGACAAGAGTGGTTAACATTTTTTGGCCTGGGAGTCAAAATCACCCTTGGCCAATTTTCTGGGACCACATACCAGTGGTGAGTGTGGCCATCTCACAAGTTTACATTACTGTCCTACCTTTTTTTCTTTTTTTCTTTTAGTTACTTTGTCTTGCCATTAAATCATACAAGTAGCATGAAAGTTACAGCTGGAAACCAGGAGTGACTAAAACAGCTAAACCTGTGTTTAAATGCAACCTAGACTCAAGCTGGGAGCATTGCAGTCAAAGAACAGTGCTACTCTTGGCTCTCTCCTTTTTTTCATAAGGGTAGAATAATTCTTAGTTGTACAACGAAACAATAGTATAATGGTCAAGTGACTTATCTAGTGAAGTTGAAGGGAGATAGCAGGAGAATTGAAGGCTTTTTAGAATAATAAACAATGAAACTTGGGGCCTTGGATTCAAACCACCCATCTTTTGCATTTGCACAGCATGTATGTCATCAGTTTCTACCCATTCCTCCTCTGCCATGTATGCACAGTGATTCCCACCCCCCACCCCTGAGTTCAGAAACAGCTTTTCAGGCAATATGAGAGGCTGCCTCAGGAAGGGTCAGTGATAATTATACTGATGTAGAGGGAATGCTGGTCTTGGAGCTGGTGTGCAAGAACATTGAAGATTCAGAATATCAGATGTGGGGATGTAGGGTAAAAGGCCATGTTGAGCATAATTCCATGATCATAGGCATGACTAACAAGTATATTTGGTGGCTGACAAAGGAAATAGGGAGGGCTTGGAGAGGGGAAGATTAGAAGCTCTGTATTTGCAAGAATCCAATTACTAAATAATCCTTTCAAGCTATTACATAATCCCCACTGCCTTTTCATTTAAAAAATGGCTGCTAAAGAAAAATTGCAGTTTTTATATTCTTCTACCTCTCTCTATCTATATATGGATTTGTTTTGGTTTGAATAATTAGGAACCCCCCCCATTAGTGTAAAATATTGTGTAATAGTGAGAGGCACATAACTGATGGCATTTATGAGAATTATTTCCCCAACTAAATAGCTACAATTATGTCGTACTCCAATAATCTGTGAAGTTATTCTATGTAAACTTCAGTCGCGATCTATAGATTTGCTTTTTCAATGTTGAAGGTAAAATATTCAGATGTGATTACTGATTAAGACTCATCCTCTTGAAGAATATAATAGCTGTTTCACACATAATGCTAAACGAAATTATTTCTTAGCAAGAATGAGTATGCATACAGCCACTCAGTTGGAAAATCATGGCTGCTTTGTTCTTTTTGCTGCTCCTGGTGCTGCCATGCTACCTAGAACTAATGGCATGGTTTGGTTTAGCGTTAGGTGTATACCTGGGTTTGTGTTTGTCTTGCTCCTAACAAGCCACAAGCTGTAACCAAAGTTTGATGTTTGTTTACTGCATGCAATTTGTTTGGGGAAGAAAAGCATTGAGACTGGTTTAGCAAATGCTGAACCTTAATAAAACTTGGTGTGAGTGTGTAGCAGTGACCATTGTAGTCCTTAATCAGGTGAAGTTCAATGTGTGGAGATGGGGTTTCGAATTTATTCTTGCAATCCATTACTTGAAACACTTTGCTTTGACATATGTAAGGCTGGAAGAGGTTGATTCTTAATAAAAAAATTCCAGTTGTCTAAAGCAGGGGCAGCCAACTGGCAGCCCACAGTCTACATCCTGCTCCTGTGGCAATTTGTCAGTCCCTGGCAATGCTAGCTAAGTTGAATCAAAGCAGTTAAAAAATTAACCATAGTTTCAGCCATGAGGATCATAAGAAAGTTTTCAAGGTGTAAGAGAAAGAGAATCCATAGTTACATTTTGCATCTTGCTGGTGCGTAAATGTGAAGAGTATTTTGGGATCCAGGCTACTATCTGGTGAACGGCTGCAGTGATACAGGGTTAGCCATTCTGGTTTAATCTTTTCAAATTTAATTTCCCCCTCCTTGGCCCCTTCTCTTAGTTCTGTGCTGGAGCAGTCCTTAAAATGTTTTGCCCAAGCTCAAATTAGCTGTCACACTGACAAGGTGTTGAATTCAAAGGACTTACTGCAGCTTGGTTCTTGTAACCAAGCCTTTGGAAGCAATAGAAATTTACTGCACAGTCTAATAATGAGATTTACTCAGGGTGGGAAGCAACTCATTTGTGCAAAACATTCTGGATCATTAATATATGGAGACGAGGGCTGCTTTTAATTGCCATGACAGACTATGAAGTACAGTCCTGCGATTGTCAGAGATTTCATTTACAGAAGTCCATGACTGGGCTAGTGATGTCATGTTGTAACTTACAAAACAAAACTGTAAATAGAGCAAGAATTGCTGGTGGGCATCAATGTATTGTGGGCAGAGCACAGAGGGGTGTGTGTGTGTGGAAGTATTCTCTCAGAATAACACAACAGAACTTAGTGGTGAGCCTAGGGTATGCGGTCTTTCCTGCTATCTTTCCATACAATGTTATACAAACGAATATCTGAATAAGGCTAAAGATTGCACCCCTTGGAATGCAAACGCCTGGCTCTTCTGAACAATATCTTAATATTTTGCGCTGGAAATGTTCTTCAGATGTTAGAAAGATTTTCTACAGTAATTAGGGAAAATCATAAGAACACTTGATCCTAATACTCTGTGTGCTTGTTAACTCCAGCTTTGTGTCACAGAGAAACCTAGACTTTCTGGGTTGCACATCAGAATGTTACCTGCACCCCTCAAAAATTGATCTTGAGGCTTGGGGGACCCTTCATAACAGATTTGGGGCTATGGCAGCAGAGGAAGGGGAAGTCCTATTGCACAAGTGGAGCTCTGTTCATGCAGCATCAAAGTCTCAATAGGATATTAGTTTCTTAATCAGGAATATTGATTTAGAAAAGATCTACTAAATCACTTAATTAGTTAATCAAAAATTTCAGAGTGCATGAATTCACTTTGCAGATAGGAAGGAAAATCAGTGGCAGGTGGTAACTTTGTTAAAGGTTAAAGTTCTGGGTTAGCAGCATTCAGGAAAGGGATCAGCAGATAAGCAGAAGACATGAGAATAGTCAAAGGTAGAGTGAAGATAATGCAAATTAGCCACCCAGTAGAACTTGGAAAGACTAACAATATTATTCATTTTGAGTACAAAGAACAGGAACAATGTTTTCTTGTGGGTGTCAAGCGCAATGTCTGCTCAGTGTCACTCTCTTTCCATCGCTGAGGCACACACAGAAGTGTTCACCACAGCAGCGAACAGATCTTTGCAGGAAGGATTTGGAAATTCCTCCTTTTGTTCAGCCTCCCAAGGGACTCTTCTTTCCCCCTATCTGCTCCTACTAGAGCTACAGGACAGACAGAACTTCCAGGTAGAATGGGAAAGGCAAACTGCCAAGCAGAACTGAGCTGAGCTCATGGCACATACTCATACTTTCACCTGTATTATTCTGTTTTATGTCTAAGCAAGGAGTTAAGGGCCAGTTCTCAATATTTATTTTTCATAGCTGTTCATAATAGGTGAACAGAAGCCTAGAGGCCATTAAGAAACAGTCAAATTGTGCTTCAGTCAAAAATTTGCGTGCTATTTACAGGAACTTAACTGCTATTTACACCAGTGGAAAAAGGTAACTCGGTAAAAGAAGTGTGATAACATTCCCCCAAAGATATAGTGCACGTCTTTCCTGATTTTTATGTGAAACTTAAAAAAGTGGAGAATAAGATCCTAGGTCCCCCCCGCCTCGCCCCACAAAACAGCTATATTTTAAATTTAACTTCTGGAGTTGCTGATAGTTTGAAAGGCCCAATAACTTTTGAAGAACTCACAAATAATGATTCCTTTTGCTCTAACTAAATCACTGAGAGCCTCTAATGGGACACTTCTTGAGGTTCCTCACACCCCTGAGGTTTGGTTGGCAATGGAGACTTTCCCCCCCCAATGCTGCTGTAACCTTCTTGGGGCATATCTATGTGAGAAGGAGCAACTGCTGTCTCAGTAGATTGGTCTGTTGGAAAGCTGGAGGAAAGCTGTTCTTTTGCCTTTCCTGTAACTTTACTACATTGAGTTACCGTATTTTTCTGTCTATAAGACGCACCCTATTTTGGGGGACTCGGATTTAAGAAAATGGGGGGAGATGGCCCGTGTATAAAACGCCCCCTCATTTTTTACATTATTTTTAGGGGGGGAAACCTAGTCTTATACATGGAAAAATATGGTATATTGTATATCTTGTTCAATGTTTGTATCGTTTACTTTCTTCCTTACAGTGGTGAGTTTTTTCATTTACTGTTTCTCTCTCTCTCTCACTTTCTCATATTGTGTCAGTTTGCATCGTTTTGATCTCTCACACCAGATAAGTACAGTAATTTCATGGAGGCAGACTTTGAAGAGTGCTATTGATTATTATGGAGACAAGCCATTTTAATCAATTCATTTAAGCTGTCACAGTGATTCAGTGTAATAATGTGTTTACTCTGGGCCAGACAGGAGGCTGCTGCTCTAAAGTAGCAGAACGATGGGCTGCTTCTGACTCTCCCATGGAAGTGACCAAATACTCTTTTGTATGGTGGCTGAAGCAAAAACTGCTAAACCTGCAGTTTGACCAAATTCTCTATACAAATCTACGCTACATAATCTAGAAGGGCACCATTATGGAGTCCCTTGATGTGATTAAGTCAAATCACATGGTCATACTGCATTGCTGAGAATATTTTTGGTAGCCTCTATATACAGTGGTCTGTTATATGAGATCCAGGGTGTAAACCCAAGACTGCTTCATGTTTTTATTATATGTGCCCATTAATTTAAACAATCTGGTAGCTTGCTGTAGAAAGAACACTGCAGTGAGATACCAATGACTCACAAGCAATGCTGATGTGGTTTCTTTGGCTAGGCGGCTTCTGGCTGACAACAGTATTCGTAGAAAGAAAAGGGAGTGCCAGAAAGATTAGAACTCAAAGGGAGTGCCAGAAAGATTAGAACTCATAGCGGTAGTGTTCATTGTCTCTCAGGGGCTTCACATGCCTCCTCCTGCTCCATAAAGGGAACCTTAAGCATCTAGTGTACTTCTTAAAGAGCCCTGTGTGATGCTGTCACTTTGTAGAACAGCTCAGGTTGGGTAGATAAGTCTCCTCAGGTTTATTGATGGAAAAATGCAGCCCATGCATAGTTCTGAGGCAATGGGCTGCTTTTATTTTTTTAAAAAAATGAGGAAAAGAGAGTGTATGGCCCATGTCGGAGCCAGCCCACAGGCCCAGTTATTATTATTGTTTCTTAAATTTCTTTTTTTTTTTAATGATATTTATTGAAATTTTTTTGAATTACAGAGAAAAAACAAAACAGAAAAAGAAAAAACAAAAAACAAAGAAAAAGCAAACCACATCCAACAACACAAATTCAAAAAAACAAAAATACACCTCAAACAGACAAAAACAAATCCATCATTCTCAAATCCTCAACTCTCATTACCTTCTTTCTTTGACCTCCTCCTCCGCCCTTTTTTTTGTATCCTAGTTAATAATTATCGCAGCAAATCCTTTCCATATTTCATAATATTCTGTCTTTACATTACCTTAATCTATTTTCATCTTATCTTATAAAAAACCTTAAAACTTAAACTTAAATCTTATTTTTACCGACTTCTCACAACCATAATATTCTTACCTAATTCTTTAAACATTTTTACTAGAGCCAGGTAATTTCATTCCAACATTTTTCTAACATTCATCCATTTTATAAAACAATCCTGGTAATAAGAAAAAAAAGAAATAAAAACAATCCAATCTTCATCCAGCGTCCCTTCCTCCTGGTCCCGGGTTTTGTCAGTCCTTTTCCCCCATCAATCTAGCGCATTAACCTGGTAACCTTATATCCGAGGCCCTTAAGTCACTTCCATGTCCCTTCCGCAGCTCTTCTTCATATTCTCCTTTCGCTCGTGGGAACTCCAGCTTGGTGATGTTTTTGACCCTTTTCAACAAATCAGCCCCTTTTCCATAGTCCAGACTCAATTCCATGTGGTATTTAAAAACATGTTTCAGAATCCCTCCAAAATTGAGAGCCCCCACAGCTGCAAACATCTCACGGCCCATTGCCAGATTCAGAAAGTCCAAACATCCCTGCATAGGGGGGTCTATCCAACCCCCCATTTCCAAACCAATCCAAACTTTATCTTTCCAAATCCAAATCCAAGTTCATTTGTCAAATCCAAAAGCTCATGTTCCTGCAAGGCCGCAGCTCCCTCCATCTCTGGCGCCCAAGATTCAGCAACATCCTCTTCTCTCATCTGCTCTGTCAGGACGCACTCCTGATCTGATTCCTGGGTGGGCTCCACATAGTTTCCCACTGCCTGTTCAAAAATTCTGACCGCATTAGTCATCAAATCCGTCTTCTCACTTAACTGTTCCAGTAGGGCACTTATTTTACAGAGAGCACACAACAGAGCCTCTGAATACATTGTCCTACAAGGTCACAAGTCCATTCCCACGATTGTAATCTGTGACAGCTGCAAGCTTCCTAGAATTAGTTACAATTTCACAGTCTCCCTCTAGAGGGAGAACTTCTATTTGTTCTTGCAACAGAGTATCCTTTTTGAGATATTTGGTCAATATTTGTTCCTTTAAAATGCGAAAGGAAACAGTGGAATCACTATGTTTCTCTTCTTTTAACTATCTGTCAAAAACGTTTGTCTCTGGTCAATGAGCTTCAAACGTCAGTCCTGACACCCCGCTCCAGGATCAGGACGGTGGAAAGTTACTTTACTTTAAACTCACTTCTGCAGGTTTAAACAGTCCAAAAAAGATCCCCCTTCTTCTCCTGCTGCCGAAGGGGGGTTCGACAATTTTAAATGATGAAAGCCAATCCTTTAGAAGCGATTTTCTAAGCTCTAGTTTACGTTGTCTTTGCTTTATTCTAACTACAAAGAAACGGAAGGCTGACTTCCTGTTTAGACCTTCCTGTTTCAGTACCAAATTGAAGTAACTCTTTAAGTCCAATTCCTTTCTGCTCGCAAGTCCTTATTTAAAGTCCAATTGTTCAAAGTTTAAGTACTCACGGGTGCTTATTTTAGAAGCCAAATTGTCCCAGGAAAAAGGCAGCGCTCTCCGGCAACGGCTATGCGGCTTCGCTCCACGGAAATAGCAGTTGACTCACAGCACCGCGCTACTTCCCCCTCTTCACTTTGGAGCCCGTTAGTGGGTTCCTTTGCGGGTTGGGGGGGCGCTAAGGGTGCCCGTCGAGTCCCATGGTCACAGGCTTCATCCGCCTGTGATTTTTAACAGGGTCCCCGCTTCGCCGTAGCGGAAAGGACCCGTTTCACGCAGAGCTAGTCCCTCCAGTTCAGAGGGAGTCCGCCATTGCCGATGGCGCCACCCCGGAAGTGGTATTGTTTCTTAAATTTCTATACCCCCTTTCATTCGAAGATCACAGGGCATATAGTAACAAACAATATGTCATATAGTAACAAACAAAAGAGTTAAAAAGGCCATAGATTGTTTCATTAGCCAAGACCTGGGAGAAGGAATTTTTTTTGCCTGGCACCTAAAAATATGTAACAGAGGTGCTAGGCAAACCTCCCCAGGGAGAGCAGTGCACAAGTGGGGAGCCTAGCTACAGCCTAGCTCCCCACTCTTCCCTTGTTGTCTAAATGTTTATCTGTAATTTCAACTTTGTTGATATAGCCTCATGCCGTACATCTTAATATTTTAGCTATATTTCCTTTCTAGCAGTTAGATACTTCTGAAAGGTAAAGGTAAAGGGACCCCTGACCATTAGGTTCAGTCACGACCAACTCTGGGATTGCGGCACTCATCTCGCTTTATTGGCCGAGGGAGCCGGTGTGCAGCTTCCGGGTCATGTGGCCAGAATGACTAAGCTGCTTCTGGCGAACCAGAGCAGCGCCCTGAAACGCCGTTTACCTTCCCGCCGGAGCGGTACCTATTTATCTACTTGCACTTTGACGTGCTTTCGAACTGCTAGGTTGGCAGGAGCAGGGACCAAGCAACGGGAGCTCACCCCGTTGTGGGGATTTGAACCGCCAACCTTCTGATCAGCAAGTCTTAGGCTCTGTGGCTTAACCCACAGCGCCACTTCTGTTGGCCTTCAAATATGATTAATAATAATAATTTATACCCTGCCCTCCCCGGCCAAAACCGGGCTCAGAGCAGCTAACATTAAATGTATAACACATTAACATAAAATCAGGCAATCAATTAAAATACATCCTAAAATCAGATCGGAATCAGAAAAAAATCCAATCAGATGGCAACCCGCAGATTAAGAGATGAGTATTATTTTTTATTTCATTTGTGAATGTATTGCTGCATCTATGGTGGTCCTGTAACTTGATTGCATTAGGTTTATTTGTTTTCCTGTATTCTTGTATGAGGTCCACTCCACCCCCCCCCAGTAATAGATTATGATAGACTTGAAAGTGACAGTTTTAATATCCTGGCTGTGTGTCATTTTGTTTGGCAATGTAAACAGTTTTTATTGCAGTATTATTCATGAGTTATATTGTATTATTGTAGTACTTGTACTTGATCCCAAGGAAAGCCAATATCAAGTAGCACCTGAAAACAAATTGCATTGGCAGCTTCTGTTGGGCACAGTTGTTCATTGGGAATGATCCCAAATCAATCATGGATGGCATAATTACTTTTATTTATTAGATGTCACGATTTTCTTTTAAAACACCGTTTTTGCCTTGCTCTGGTATTTGAAAGCCATTGGCAGTCCAGGCCTACATTGACAAGAGAGAGAGAAATTGACGGGGTGACCTGCCAAAACCAAAACCCGCCTGGGCTAATACCCAACTGTACAGATGCTGGGCTGTCGTCATTCTCTTTACCCTCCTTTCATTGATCGTTTTTTCTTGAAGTGTTTTCCTTCTTCAAGGGAAGGGAAAGAAAATATGATTGCCACCTCAGGAGCTAGTTCCACCTCCACCCCCCATTCCAGGGCTGTGTCCGGGAAATTGAAGGGTTTTGAATCCACTGGACTCAGAACCACACATTACATGTCCTCAGAACATCTCCTTTTTGCCCTCAGCAGTGGTGAGGGAGTATCAGTCACTGTCCTTACATTTTCTTTAATGGCTGGGATGGAAGTTCTCAAGGTGGACAACCTTATCTGCCTGATAGGGAAGATCCAAAACATTTCCTATGGCCCCTTGGATGACCTCACAGGGATCATAGGATTTAGCCTTTAAACAGTTACTTACATTACTTAAACCCACTTACTTCAATGGGTCTATTCTGAGTGTAACGACTCTGAATAGTTGAATACCGCCCCTAACTGCTTTGTACAAAGCAAGATTTGGAATTATTTGTATGACTTTTGAAATGCTCAGAATATCAGTCCTCAGTCGCATTTTGAAATAAGCTGAGTGGATTTTGCTGAATAGTTAATGTATTAAAACCTTTATTTCCCAGTAAAGGCCCCCTGGCACTTGACAACAGGTGAAGAACAAGTTATTTTCAGGGAAAAATAAACTTAGAATGAAAAAAAGGTTTAAAGGAGGAGGCAACAGGATTTTTTGGTATGCTGGAAACCATTTATTGAATATTGCAAAGGGAACTCATTGCTTCCTCAAGCAAAGCAAAGCCTCTTTATTATTTGAAGGTAGGGATGACAAAGGTGATTCCCCTTCAGCTCAGGGGTCAGCAACCTTTTTCAGCCGTGGGCCAGTCCACCAGCCCTCAGACTATATTTTGGAGGGGAAGAAAGAACGAATTCCTATGCCCCACAAATAACCCAGAGAGGCATTTTAAATAAAAGCACACATTCTACTCATGTAAAAACATGCTGATTCCCGGACCATCCATGGGCCAAATTGAGAAGGAGATTGGGCCGCATCCGGCCCATGGGCCTTAGGTTGCCTACCCCTGCTCCAGCTGCTCCTGGACGGCATCTCTCATAGGCCATGCTGGCTGAGGCCAATGGGAGATGGAGCCCAACAACAACTGGAGGGGGCACCACATTATTGGCTACCTCTGTTCTAAAGTATCAATTTAATTTGTAAAGTATTAATTTAATTTGTAATCAATGGAAATTTGTAAAGATACAATTGCAATTTATTACTTTATTTCAGTAATCAGTAATAAAGTGATAGTAATGAAGTGATTAATAATAGTATTAGGTAGTAAATGATAGCAAGGTAGGCTCTGGTGAATATTATTTTGACTTTTTCATATAATAAGTGTGTATATTTTCTGTCTGATCTTTTTGTTTTATGGAAATAGTTATTTTACTAGTACTTACTAAAAAGAATTTTAAAAAAGAAAGAAATCATGTCCTTTTTTCTTAATCCTGGAGCTTCAGAGTTTCTCAAAAGGGTGAGGGTTATCTCTAATGCATTATTTTTGTATTTGTGTTGACAGGAAGTTTCTGACTATGGAGGTGAAATCATGAAGAAGTAGCAGAAAGAATAATAATGCTTTTCCGAAATCGTTTTTTGCTCTTGTTGGCCTTGGCAGCCTTGTTAGCCTTTCTGAGCCTTAGCCTACAATTCTGTAAGTATACCTCGGTTCACATTATGTGAGAAGTGTAAAGCCTCACAGTCTATTAAATTTGGCCTACTTTCTGTTTGCCCCCAACCTTTCTTTGTATTTCTTTGTATTTGAATGTAGCTCAAAGGAAGTTGATGCCAAGCTGTATATGTGAATGGGAAATGAATGCCACCACTTTTTCAATTCTAGAAACACGTGTTCTACACAAATTCTAACCAAAGTCATGCTGATTGTGATGATTTCCTGGTTTGCATGTAACATCAAATCATTTTAACTTTATTTGCACTCAGTGGTGCATACTTCTATAAAGTCCCTGATGTGATCCTTCCCTGCTCCTGTATACCAGAGGAAAAATAAGTCGGTGGCTGTCTTTATGTATTATGCAAACCAGTGCTTGTGGATTGTTTATCTCCAACAAACCATAAGCGATTGCCAAGGTTTCTTGGGGAAACAAACCACAAACACTTATTTTCACAGAAACACAAAGTTGCTCAGTTTGAGATGTATGCACCAGTATGCTGCTCATTTGTGTTAAGCCACAATTAGTTTATAAATGCATTTTAATGCTACATGTGAATAGGACTGATTGAAGGAAAAGCCCTCCCCACCACCCTGTCTATATGCTTTCAGATAATTGCTTGACAATTTAAAAAAATATTAAGAACTATGTTTTCTTTAAATAGAAATGCATTAATTGCGACTCTTTCTACAATTTGAGTAATTAAGTAATGCATAAAATGTCAGGGTGATTCTCAAACACAAAAGCTTGGTTACAGACTGGGGAAAAAAAGAGAACATATATATACTTATTTATATTGGAAGCTAGATGTGGAATTTGCAGTAATATGATCACCGCAAACTCTCTTTCCAGGGTTGTCATGCTGTAATTACTTATATACTTTCAAACAGTTACTTGCTTCTGTGCTGGTCTTGGCTGACTAGATACCTGCTTATGTGATTGTGAAAAAACTTATCTCAAGATGATTTTCCATTGATTAATTCAAACTGTGGTGACTGTTGCTAGTTTTTGAGGTCTCTGCTTTTTTAGACTTCTTTAAATAACCGTAGAAGGAAAGGATTATAACCTCTCTTCTTTGTAATATGTGAACCAGCCCTCATGTACTGAGACAGCGTGCCTTTTTGTGATGGACTCTTACTGATTCTGATTTGGCATGTTTTGCTAAACAAATAGATGTTCCTACTGATTGGCTGTGATACATTTATATACAGTGGTACCTCAGGTTACATACGCTTCAGGTTACACACTCCGCTAACCCTGAAATAGTGCTTCAGGTTAAGAACTTTGCTTCAGGATAAGAACAGAAATTGGGCTCCGGCGGCGTGGCGGCAGCAGGAGGCCCCATTAGCTAAAGTGGTGCTTCGGGTTAAGAACAGTTTCAGGTTAAGAACGGACCTCCAGAACAAATTAAGTACTTAACCCGAGGTACCACTGTACTGGTGTCATATGCTAACAAGGCCTCACTCCTGTTAGCAATCATGTTGCAACGTTCTGCACTGACTGCAGCTGCCAGATGAAGAACAAGGGAAAGGAACCAAGATACCACTGTAAAGCCCTTAACAACTTGGGACCAGTTTACCTACAAGATCACCTTAACCCCCCCCACCCCCACCCCCAATGCTTTTTGATTGATTTGATGTTTGCATTGGCAGAATGTCTGTTGCTTTATGTTTAGCATGTGCCTTGATACTGTATGTTGAGTGCCTTCAGCACCACACCTCTGCTGATGGCTTGTTCTGAATTAATTATTCTCTTGTCTGTTTGTATTCATATTCTATATTCTTCTTGGGAGTAGAGTTGCTGAAGTTCTTGCTTCCTTTAAACTCCATTTTTGGGATCTCTTGGCAGAACTGTTCGCTGGCTCAGTGTACATTATTGGTATGATAGGCTTGTGTTTGTTTTCTCCTATACAAGTTCCATAGTATGGGAAAACAAGGAGTCTGTAGCAGATTATTAGGATGAGGTTCAGGGGACTTAACACAGGTGACTCAAATGATGTGTTGTTTTGTTGCTTCTTAGCAAGTGCTACAAATTACTATCCCACCCTAACAATTTGTGACCATGTTTGGGTTCTTGCAAAGATTTCCAGTAAGTAGACATGGGGAAGCAATTCAAAATGAATCATTCACAGACCGTACTCAAAGATGACCTCTGAGCTGCAGCTGTCTATGAATTCAGCTTATGAGATAGTCTGCAAGCAAATTGTATTGATTAACATTTTAGCTCAATATTTTCAGCTGAATGCATCTTGGTTGACCATTTATAATTGAAACATATGTGCTTAGGAGTCATACTTACGATGCACATATTATGTCAGGACTGCTGTAAGGGAATGTGGAGGGGAGGATGGGATTTATTCATTTATTTAAAACATATTTCTTTTTGGCAGTATGTATCATCAGACAATATATAAGGGTTTTGTTGATGGCTGAAGATCCTGTTGCTGTATTATTTCTGTGTGTACAGAAATACACATTTCCTCAGCAAATACTTCCTATAGGTTAGGCTGGTGTTTGCCAACCTCCAGATGTTATGGACTACAACTCCATAAGTCCGAAGCAGATCTGCTGCCTAGGACTCATGGGGGTTGTAGTTCAAAACATCTGGACCAGGTTGGAAGTAGGTGAAGGCCATGTTAAACACTACACTTGTGCCTTCTAATGTTCTCCTGCCATGGTTTGACCTTCATTAATATTAGGATGGGTACTCCATGCCTCAGCTATTATTTATGCATAAAACTATTTCTCATGCTGCTCTGTCATAAAAATATGCCACAACAGCTTGCAGAAATAAAACAAAGTTAAAAAGTTAAAAACAGGCATCAGTTAACCATTGTTAATGGTCATAGTGGCACAGTGGCATTTATGACTGTTTGTTTGTTTTTGTTCTTCGTGGACGCCACAGCATGTTGGCTATCATTCTACCCTGAGGTTATTTTGTTCTTTCATGAACCTTTATCAAATTATTCCATGCTTTCCCTCCAGCCCTTTGGTAAAGCAATTAACCTATATTAATATAGCTGCTTTTATTTATTCATTTGGCTCCTTTGCTAATCTGCTTGATGCAAAGGAGGAAAACCTTTGTCGCGGTGTTACATATACAGTTTTTCTTTATTAATGTTTATAAACTTTACCCACTCCTTTATTTCTTCACAAATATCTCATGCTTCCTACTTTTCTTTTGCTTGTCTTTTTTCAGTTTCTGTCCTCCTTCCATTATAATATAATAATAATAATTTATTATTTGTACCCAGCCCACCTGACTGGGTTGCCCCAGCCGCTGTGGGCAGCTTCCAGCATACCGTATTGGCCCAGATATAAGCCGCACCCGCAAATAAGCCTCACCTTTAAAATTCAGCGGCTTGGGAGCCGCGGACAGGACAGGCGCCGTTGCCCCATGGTCCTGAGCTGCTCTGTGCGGGGAGTGTGAGCCGCACCGCTTTGCCGGCAGCGTAAGGTCATAAATATAAGCTGAACTTTAACTTTTCACAATTGGAATTTGGAAAAAAAATGTGGCTTATATTCAGGCCAATACGGTATATAAAAACATAGTAAAACATTCTGGTTTGCGTTAGCAAATGTTTTGCTACAGACCAGAATTAGCAAGATGTCATCTTATGAAGCCATTTCAGTTATAAATGGTGACATGTGTACATTAAAAATATAGAAACATAGAAAATGGGTGTATTTAAAAGCTTTCATTAGCTAGAATGAATAGTTGATTTACTGTATGTATGTGGGGAGATGCAAACAGCACTTGAATTATTGTTTAGTTAAATGGCTTCAGGCTAATAATGTGGAAAGTAGCTAACAAGCCAATGGAATCTCCCTTAGTTTACAATATATTCTTTTGAAGACTCTGAGCTCCCAGGACAGATCCATTATCGTGTTGAAATAGTAGAAAGACAAGAATTTTGGTAGTCTAAATCGCTGCAAGTATTTTTTTTTTATTTGGCAACAGTTTTTAATTGACTGTATTTCACCTGGTTTGAGAATAGGAAAGCTGTAACACCTCATTATGTCACTTAGTTGCTGTCTCCTAGAGAATACAAGTCAACCCAATAAGTTCTGCCACAGTGTGATGTGGAGCTCATGTGCATTAGATCCTAGACCAAAGAAAGATGTAGTAGTGAATAGAACATCCTACTAAGTGGATAATGTGTGCACTGACCTATTTTGCATGAACACTACAAATCTGTACACATTTGAGTCTTGGTGGGAGTGGGTGACGATGGGGTGATGATATATTTGTGTAGTACGTATTAAGTATGTAAGCATTCGCTATATAGGCAATGGGGAGGTTAGGTGAAAAGGAGGTGGTTTTGAAGAATATAATGGGATCCCATTCAAGACTGATATGAGGTGATAACTGGTAATTCCTTTGCAGTAACTACTTTTAAGTGCATTGCGTGATTATATGCTGTTTGAAAGAGGCTTGCTTAAAGCAAAGTCAATTTCCTTTCATAAGTTACGTTAATACTGTGCCGGCCTAGCTAACTGTTGCTGGGTGGTGAAATCCCAATAAATAGAACTATCATATAAAGTTCACTGATTGGTTGCTATTACTGTATTTGTTAGACTTGGGCTGTCCAAAGTTTGTCAGTAATTCACATTTCCACAGGTAGCATTTAATGCATGGATGAGCCTCCTTAAGTCTAATTTGGAATTCAGGTTTTGCTAGTTTAGTAATAATCTTCACATTTGTTTCTGCTGCACTTTTGGCAAATGCAGGGCATGTTCCTAGCAAGACTGTAAATCCTGCAAAAATGTAAAAATAAAAAAGCAGAATTACTTTTAAGTTACATTGTTTTACTTTATCTATTGGCTTCACATGTCAGTTGCTTTTCAGACTTCTACCAAGGTGTTATAATTATTGAGCTACAGTTATATTTTATGCATGATAATTAGGTGAGGTTGTCGATACTTTGCAGTAATTTCAAGGAGGAGAAGTGAGTAGGTGTATGACTACTGTCTGAATTACTTTCTGTAAGAGAATGCAAAGAAAAAAATCTGGATAAACTTTTCACATATTTAATTTTCCTCCTGTCGTGTGGAGTAATCTCTGAAAAACTAATGGGAGCATGCTTTTAAACTTAATGCTAGTTTAGTGATGCTTGCACAGCAGTCTGGATGTCTACTGTACATACAGTCTGAACAGATGTGCATCTCTCTGATGGGTACCATCCTCAAGTATATAGGGGCCTCCCCAATGATTGACTGAATGGGAATATGGGAAATGGGAATATGACAGTTTCACTGCCATCACCACATTTCCTTGTCAGAACCAGCGGCACATTTTAAATTCTTAAGAATTCTTACTTGGTAAGCAGGTTTGAAAGGGAAGGAGAGCAGTTTCAGAGAGCAATCCCACTGAACAGCAACTCTGTTGAAGACAGCACAAAATGGGTTATCTAAGCACTCAATGGGTTTTCTTTATAGACTCAAAGAGAATGACTTACAGTAGAAAAACAGAAGGTAACCTTATGGAGCAGTTTCACAAAAAAGCATATCTACTTCCTAAACTTTAGATATGCTGTTACTTAAGTATTTCTACTTCCCTAATTGCTGTTGAAAGAGCAAAACAGCCGTAGAGTACAGAACTTATACCAGATCAGTTGTCTCATCACTGAATGCTTCTTCTCCTGAGATCTAATGGCCTGAGAGCCAGCCACCAAGGAGTTAATGGCCAGTGATGGTTGTGCTATGTTTGCCTTCCACTCCTGGAATCTGTTAAGAAGGAAGGAGCTTCCCTCTTAGACAGACTAGGCAGCTCCTATGGCCAGTCTCCCAAGTTGGTAAATTCACTTCATCACAGTATTGTCTCATTACCTTGAATTCAATGTGTGATAAAAGACCACTCAACTAAAAGGTAAATCTGTTCAGGAAGTTGTAAAATCCATGCATCCTTGCATTCCAGGAGGCATTGTAGGTTCCCAAACATAGTTGGAAGCCTCCATTGGGAACAGTAGAAATTTAAAGATGGGGTCTCAGCTGGTATGTTTGGGAAAGAAAGCAATGGGAAATGCTGGGAAAGATTGGCAGAGATATGACAAATGTCTGGTCTTTCTGAGATTTTAAATAACTCATGGGAAGAGTTTGTTATTTAACCAATGCATTTTCTTCTGTACTTGTGTTTGAACTTCCATTGCTGGGTAAGCAAAAGTGATCTGCTGCAATTTCAGTGTAGTCATACTTTGAAATTTGTCTTAGCTGGACTAATACTGGGGATAACCAACAAGTGAGGCTGTTGAATTGTTTTGCATTACTGCCGTTTGTGTTAGAGCTTTCCAGACACCCCAGTTCCCAGTAAATTGATCTTGTTTGGAGTTGTATGGCATGACAGTACGACCATTCACCCCTAAGGATCATTTTTCTGCATTTTCTTTTCTTTCTAAAAATGTAACTAAAAATCTGTTTTCTGTTACTGTATTTTACACAGGAAATAATTTCAGAAGTCATAATTTATGGCTGTTTACTGCAGTGTGTTTGTCTGTCTTGTGTTCTCCAAATGTGTAATGATAGCACTAGAGTTTCTTAGCAAAGTATTGCATGTTGAAAAGCAATCATACTGTTCTGTCTTATCACTGTGTAATCTGCCTCATTGGTACATGTGGATATTGCTAATGTCTTTCAGAAGGAGGATTAAAATGATGGAATCTTGCTATGGCTGGTGATAAATTTTATCTTTAGACCCCTGGGCAAATGTTTATAGAGGTAATTAAAAGAAAATGGTTGGAAAGTGGCCCGGTACTTTCTGTGTTGTGCCTTGAGCATAAGACATGTTTGCGGGATGATTGCTGTTTATATCCATGAACACATATTAGCATGTGAGATAAGAATATGATTTCTATTTCAGTTTCAGGGCGGCGGGGAGGGGGGGGAGAGATGCATTGTAAAATGCTGGTGTATGTTCAGTTATAACTGGCTAAAAATTGTCAATATTGTCTGGTCTCTCTTTTCTTAACCTGTAGGAGGCATGTGAAAATGCATAGGGTATGTTAAGATGTAAGTAACAGTTAAGAAGGTTCATTCCAATCTATGATTGAAATCAAAACCAAGAATATTTCCCTGCTGTGCACCTTAGGGGGGGGGACGGGACTCCCGTTGACACCAATGAATTGTGGTGCAGGGGCTGTTTCTTTGAGGCTGGCTATTCCACAAGGAACCCTGTAGTGCAGCCAAGTCCATCAGGCTTGAAGTCAGTGCCTCAGGTAGTGACTGCAGGCCTCTGTTGCCAGGGAACAATCGGGAGAACATTTTAATAGTTCCTCCTTTTTTATACTGCTTAATACAGTGGTACCTCGGGTTAAGTACTTAATTCGTACTGGAGGTCCGTTCTTAACCTGAAACTATTCTTAACCTGAAGACCACTTTAGCTAATGGGGCCTCCTGCTGCTGCTGCTGCGCCGCCAGAGCCCGATTTCTGTTCTTATCCTGAAGCACTATTTCTGGCTTAGTGGAGAGTGTAACCTGAAGCGTATGTAACCTGAGGTGTATGTAACCCGCGGTACCACTGTATATTCAAAATATCTTTAAGTGGTGTACAGAAAACTGAAGAAGCAACAAACAACTTAAACAAAGCATTACACAAATACACAGTTACATATAAAGATGTTACACTAAGACAAAGTTACAAATATATATAAATCAATATAGGTTCATTTTCCTTCTGACACACGCTCCTTCTCAGCCTCCAGGGTTCTCTCTCAGGGTCCAACAAAAACAGCGAGAAGAGTTCCTGGAAACAGCAGGCATCCCCCTGGTTTCTCACTCTAGACTTGCTTTTTATGGGCAGGCCCAAGGTGAATGGTACTTCCTCAGGCTGTCCAAAGCTGTCTCCGATTCAGCTGCACTTTTTGCACTCTGAGTTTGCTGAGTTTCCCAGGGAATTCAAAGGATGGGAAGAGGGGGCCCCCATCAACTCAAAGCTTTTTCTTCCCCCTTTGTCTTCCTCTCCTACTCCAGCTGCCTGGCCCACACCTGGCGTCACATATGACACCAGGTGTGGGTCAGGTAGGTGTGGTTTTGGACAAACTGTCTCACAGTGCCAATTGGGACCTGTGCCAGGACTAATTCAGCTCGCAGGCAGGAGATAACACACCCCTGTTTTAAAGGGATCTCTCCAAGCAACGCTCAGGCCTTGCCTGAGGTCTTGGAGAGCTTCTGCCAGCCAAAATAAATCATGCAGAATTTGAATGATTTCAACTAAAACACACACAACTTTTAAGAAAATTGCCCTTTACTGAGGATACAGTGGTACCTTAGTTCTCGAACTTAATCCGTTCCGAGAGTCCGTTCGACTCCCAAAACCGTTTGAAAACCAAGGCGCGGCTTCCAATTGGCTGCAGGAGCTTCCTGCACTCAAGCAGAAGCTGCATTGGATGTTTGGCTTCCAAAAAATGTTCAAAAACTGAAACACTCACTTCCAGGTTTGTGGCGTCACGGAGCCGATTTGTTCAACAACTAAGCCAAGGTACCACTGTACTTTAGTATTAGCATTGTGTTAATATTAGTTTGTCAGCAACATAAGTATGTGTCACTTAATACTTGGTTTGCAAGTTTGCTCTCAAACTTAGGAAGCTGTTGATGGTTTCCTTTTTAATATAATTTTATTTCCATGCTTGTCAAAGGTAATGGAATTTGTTGATTTAGCTACTACACAAAAGCCTCTTGTTATAGTGTCACAATATTGTGATATTTGTAACTGTCTTACTGTAAACTGAGAGGCCTCTAAAGCTGCTGGAGCACATTTGTTGCCTGACTGACTTGGCAAAAAAAGAATTTGCTCAGTCTGCTGTCAAGTGTGCAAATGTAGGTATTTCTTTAGCAATTCGTTTACTTTGAAGTCCCCTGTATTTCAAAATATAAACACAGTAAACAGTTTCATTCTCCGTTTGCGTTTCTGTTTAAATAAAGTGTGTACTTGAACAACGTTACTTTATTTCTGGTTTCATCTGCTTCTGTAAATCCTTTTATTTCCCTGTTCTGCAAGGAGAGTTGAAAGATCTATCTAGTAATCTTTTTTTCCCTTTTTCTTTTTGGAGGGTGTCTTCTATTTGTGTGAATTATGCAAGGTTATATTAAGCACAAAATATATACTAAAGACCATTTATTTTGAACATATGACACATTTTGAATTGAAAGTTTGGCATTTCAAATAAGTTTTGTTTGTGATTTCTCCCTGTTTTCTCTTACTTTGATAGGAAATGGACCTGCTAGACAATGCAGTACAATAAAAACAGGGCCACTCTAGGAATGAAGGATTGAATGGAATTGGGGAAGTGGAGGTGGGAAAGACATGTTAGGGGATAGAAGGAGGAGGATAGCTCATGAGTTCTTACATGTCTGTTAACATTCACATCCTTTCTTCATATAGCGTAGTGGTGAAAAAACTTTCCCCCTGCATTCAAAGTGGGAATGGTCTCTGCCTCTGATCACACTGGGGCCTTATCAGGGCCCTAGTTTAGGGTGGGGGCTAGAGGGGGTTTAACTCTTTGCTCCCTGCTGTGGTTCTGATCTGGACCGAGGCTCCTGCACCTTCAATTTGTATTGCCAAAGGAGGATTCATTAAACTGAATAGGTGGTTCTTTTGACAATGCTGGCAATAAGCCTTGGATCTCTATTGTAATGGAGTAGTAAAGGTAAAGGGACCATTCGGTCCAGTCGTGGCCGACTCTGGGGTTGCGGCGCTCATCTCGCTTTATTGGCCGAGGGAGCCGGCGTTTGTCCGCAGACAGCTTCCGGGTCATGTGGCCATCATGACTAAGCCGCTTCTGGCGAACCAGAGCAGCGCACAGAAACGCCGTTTACCTTCCCGCCAGAGCGGTACCTATTTATCCACTTGCACTTTGACGCGCTTTCGAACTGCTAGGTGGGCAGGAGCAGGGACCGAGTAACGGGAGCTCACCCCATTGTGGGGATTTGAACCACCAACCTTCTGATCGGCAAGTCCTAGGCTCTGTGGTACTATGGCATTAATCCTTTGCCCTCCACTGTGGCCCCAATCTGGAGTGTATCCAGTGGCCAACTTGTTTGTTTGGCAATATGAAGACTGAATTATTTCAAAAAGTTAGCAACTAGGAAACATCCACCATTGGTCTGTATGCACTGGCATGCTAACAGGCTGTAATCCTGGCCCCACTTACCTAGAAGTAAGCCCCAATGAATTTGCTTCCAAGTCGACAAACAGATGGAATTGTGGTGTAAGAAAGCTCATACTCCTTCAGAGCTCACCACAACACATGACTAGAATTATGCTACAATCCTAATTGTGCTACTCAGAAGTAAGTCCTGTTGCATTAAGTGGGGCTTACTCCCCATTAAGTAGGTGGAGTGCAGTAGACTTGAAGTTCTACGATTCCTTCATTTTTCTCAAGCAATTGACATAAAAGATGTTAAGTAGTCCCAAATATACAACTTTATAATTGAGTCTGGCATGATAGTAGTCCTTAAATTGGCATAGCAGATGGTAAGATTTTCTGCAGTGCATTCTCAGGTTTGCTTTGTGTCTGAATTGGCAGCATTGGCATTGTATCCATTCAGCTGTCTAATCCATATGCACCTTATCTGTCTCTTCCAGGCTGGTTTTTTGGGGGGAGGGGGCATAATATCTGCCACTGTGTTTTCTTAATTAACCATTGATTTTCCATCTCTTTACGTAGCATATACCCACCCTTTAATGTGCTTCTGTGCTAATTAGTCTCTTACTTGTGTTTTACTTTTTTCTGTATTTGTATATTTTAGTGAAAACTACTTTGCAAGACTTGGAAACCACAAGCCCCTTCTTTAGGGGAGAGGGATAATGAACTTTGAATAGTTCTTATTATGCATATTTTCTCTTCCATGCTGATGAAAAATTGCCACGTAACTTGAAAAAGTATTTGCTGTGTGACCTACTTCCTACGTCAGTGAAAAAGTTTTAAACAGTTTGGTTGCATGGAACTGAAAGAACAGTCTGTATTTAAGGCTACCACTAAGAAAAAAATTCCAGACTGAAATGGCTGCTTTCTCTGCATACTCTTTTTGGACCGTTTGTGGTTGCAAAGGAAAAAGAAAATGGGAAACAGATTTCCTTTCTTTTATTCTAATTTTAGGTAAATGGTTTAAAATTGATGATTTTGCTGCAGCTGCTTTCTTCCTTCTATGCTTTTTTGTAATGGTTACATTGCTTCCTATTCTGATTACTATGCTTCAGACAAAAAGTAAATATATCTTAATGTTTTGCAGTTATATAAGACATAGTCAGTGATACCGAAATGCAAGTTTGTAATATTGATTTGGCTTATTGCACGGGTCTTTCCTTCTTTAGAAGCAGCTTTTGTCGTAGCCACTGTGATGCGTATATTCTTCCTATTAAAATAGGAACATTTATTATTAAAAGTATTTGTATTTTTGTGTAACTATAGAAAATATTATGAATTTGTAGCCCCTTTTAAAGGTGGTATTGTTGAACTATGGAGTAGGGTTGGGGAGGATAGCAGAAGGACAGAGATTACAGGTATATTTTGAAATATATGGTAAATTGCACTTGCATTGCACTTCCACCGGTGTGGAAAATATTTCAGTGGCAGGGCATCAGTAGTGATGATTCCACATTTCTTTTCTTTTTTTCTGTTTCCAATCCCCCACCCCTTGTTGTGTGTCACACTTATGGTATGCCTAATGTAATAGGGATATCCTGGAAAACATTTGTATTTATATTTAGAGTCAAATGATAGAGCTGTAACATAATGCAACAATAGCAAAATGATGTGAATGTTGCTTATTTGTATTTTTAGTACACTTGATCCCTGTTAACCCTGTTAAAGAAGATGATCTTGGCTCCAAGAATCGAAAGAGAATAATGCCTGATCCTTTGACGGAGACACCTGCTATAGATCCAATTTTCGAAGCCCAGTTTTATTGTAACATTCCCAACATACCTGAACGCAGTATGGAAGGTAAACCTGTTACAGCATTGGTGTCTTCTGCTTTATTTCTGTGTAATTACTGGTGTTTTAATTTCAAATGCACGTATAATGAGTATGGGTTGCTCGTGCGTAAGTTGCCGCCTCTCCAGGCTTTGTTGCCTTGGTAAACCTTTCAGTCTGGGCAGCCCTTCACTTCGTGGCTGCCTCAGTCGCTAGTAGAATCCGTTAGTGGGCGTTTCTTAAATCTTTTCCAACATAAAAGTTGTTTGACACCCAGTCTCCTCCTACTCTCTCTGCGCGGAAGTCTTCTGCGCAGTGAGAGCGTGGGTAGCGGAGGACCAGTGCTCTCCCCGCTGGTGTCCGGTGAAGAGTCCTGGAGCCCTCTCGCCGATTCCCCCATCAGCCCCTCCTTATCCCTGGTGTAGCGCTGATTTGCTTCCCCATCTGCGAAGCTGCCTCTCTCCCTGCTGGGCCCTTCTCCAGCATCATTTGAGAGCCTTCCCTCCGCCTCTAGCTCCGATGTCAGTTCCCTGACACACGCTTTCTTGATACACAGTGCTCTTAAAAAATTTCCAGGTAGAAGCAAGCTGCTATAGTAAATAAAGTAAAAGACAAAGCTTTGAAAACCTCACCACCTACTTATGCTTGGCTCAGTTGCAGTCAGTTCTACTGGATCAGACCAAGGGTTCTTCTAATACGCCAATGTGTTTCCTTTTTTAAAAAACAACATTTTATTGATTTCCCACAAATAACAAAAACAAAAACAATGCAAAAACAAAACAAATTGACTTCCCTTGGTTCTATTATTTATAAAGATACTGCATGTCCATTGTTAAATTTGTAACATATTTAAATCACGTATTATCCATTCATAATAAAATTACAAGTTATCTTAAAACCCTGCTAATGTATTAACCTGTGTACATTGCTTCTGTATATATGCAATAAACATCTTTCATTCTTCCTTAAATTCATTATCATCACTTCCTCTTAATTTCATCGTCCATTTTGCCACTTCAGCGTATTCCATTAGTTTAACTTGCCAATCTTCTTTGGATGGGACACCTTCTTCTTTCCAATATTTTGCTACTAAAGTCCGTGCGGCCATTGTTGCATACTTAAACAAATTCTTTGGTAATTTTGGTAGGTCCACTCCTATAATACCTAATAAGAAAGCTTCTGGTTTTTTAACTAAGGTTATACTCCAATTTGTTTCCAACACTTGGCTGATTGGATGGTCTTGGAAACATGAATGCAACACGCTCCCTTGCAAACAGACATTGAAATATATACCACCTTTTAAGATAGCAATCAAGAATCTGAGGAGGCCCTCTTAGTTGTGCTGAGTCAGATAGGAAGCTCCATTAAATTCAATGGCATTTACTTCTGAGTATGCATATATAGGATTGCACTGTAACTTGCACAAAATGTTGAGGAAGAGAAGAAACTCCTCATTTACGTAAATGACTTATTAAACTCTGGCATCTTGCAAAACAACAAAATTACATTTGTGTGTATATTTGAGAGACAAAGAGGATGGATTGATAAAAGAATTTGAAGAACTGGAACATTTAAAAAATCTTTTGGAATTTTTAAATAATCTTTTGGAATTATAAATAGACAATTACCGTATATACTCGAGTATAAGCTGACCCGAATATAAGCGGAGGCACCTAATTTTACCACAAAAAACTGGGAAAACTTACTGACTCGAGTATAAGCCGGTTCACCACACCACAAACCACCTGGTGGGCCGGAGCATGTGTGTGTGTGTGTGTGTGTGTGTGTGTGCGCACGCATGCGCACACGGCAGAGGGGGCTTCTCTCCCCCCCCAGCCCCTCCTGTCCCCCTGCCTACCTAGGGTGCTGCTGAGAGGCAGAGGCTGGTGGCGGCAGCAGCGGAGGAAGAACAAGCAGCCCAAATGGGCTGCTTTTGGGCTGCTCATTCCTCCGCTGCTAACAGGGACCCTCACTCGAGTATAAGCTGAGGGTTTTTTTCCCCAGCATTAAAAATGTGCTGAAAAAGTCGGCTTATACTTGAGTATATACGGTATATACGATAATCATTTTCCCATTTTAGTATCCCCCCTCCCTGTTCTTGTCTTCTTTTAACAGTTTATAGCATATTAGAATAATGCATCTTTGTTGCTTTTGTGTGTGTTTATGTTCTGTTTATTTTTTGACTTGTAAAGATCAGCTTATGTGTTTTTTCCTTTATTGCCTATATTGTATGTAGCTGAGTATATGAACTTGGTGAATTCTAAAACTGATTGTTGTTGTTTTAAATCAATTTTAATGTTTCTTTTATAGGTCATGCACCCCACTATTTTAAACTGAATTCTGTTCATGTGCTGATTCGCCATGGGGACCGATATCCTCTTTATGCCATTCCCAAAACGAAAAGGCCAGACATTGATTGTACATTAGTGCCCAACAGGTAAAAGTTTTGGATTTTACCATTTCTCTCTAGGCTTTATTTGTTCAGTAGAATGCAAGTACCCATAAATAGTCCATGGGCATTCTGTATTGGATTTCCACATGCTCAAGTAGAGACGCACGTACTTTAAAAGAGTCCTTTCCACCCATAGTGCCTAGTCTATATGTTCACACAAAATACCAGTTATTTTCTGCTCTCCTCTGTTTCCATCTCTTGCATAAAGATTTCTAAAGGTTCAAGGCATGATGAAAGTGCAGATAAATAATGGAGCCTTATTTTATTTACTGAATTTGTTTGTGTGCCCATCAATTTAAACTCTCTGGTCGACTCAGACAACAGAGAATACTAAACTACATTAAAATACAATAACTAAAAAGCAATAAAGACAATAAAATGCAGCATTAAAAGCTCTCCTTCGGAGCAAAGGAAAATAAAATCAGTTAGCTGCTCAGATTATAAAATAAGTGCAGCTCAATTACTAAGACCCCACACAACTTGTTTTGTTCTACTTCTGTTTTATAATACAAGTTGTTTAAAAGGTGAGTAAATAAAAGCCTTTCAAAAGGAAGACATCTAGTAAGCCTCTTTGGAAGCCATTCCACTACTGAGAAGGCCCTCTCCATCTTCTCACCTTGTTTGAGAAACTTTGTGGAATTTCGCCTCTGATGATGATCTTACGGAATACACTAGGCATATTCAGAATAAGGTGGTCTCTAGGTAAAGGTAAAGGGACCCCTGACAATTAAGTCCAGTCTTGAATGACTCTGGGGTTGTGGCACTCATCTCGCTTCACAGGCCGAGGGAGCCGGCGTTTGTCTGCTTCCACAGACAATTTTTCCGGGTCATGTGGCCAGCATGACTAAGCCGCTTCTGGCGAACCCAGAGCAGCGCACGAAAACACCATTTACCTTCTTGCCGGAGCAATACCTATTTATCTACTTGCACTTTTTTTGGTGTGCTTTTGAACTGTTAGGTTGGCAGGAGCAGGGACCGAACAACGGGAGCTCATCCCGTCACGGGGATTCAAACCACCGACCTTTTGATTGGCAAGCCCAATTGGCACAGTAGTTTAACCCACAGCGCCACCAATTTAGCTAACCTAGTCCCAAGCTATTAAGCGATTTAAAGGTTAAAATCAGCACTTTAAATGAGACCCAGGCTGGAAGCCGGTATTGCATATAAAGCCCTGCCATAATATGAGATAAACACCTAGTCCCTGTTTCAGATCAACAGTTTAAGACCATTGTTAAGGGCAGCCCACATTGCAATATCCTAAATTTACCTCTGGGAGTTACCAGAGCACCTGTAACTGCAACTGAGCTATCTCTATTGATGTATAGTTACAGCTAGTTTATCAGCTGGAGTTGATAAAAAGGTACTTTGAGCCATAGAGGCCACATGAGCCTCTTACAGCAGTGTTGCATCAATAAGCACCCCCACACTGTGAACCCAATCCTTTGGGAAGAATGTAACTCCTTCCAGAGCAGGTTGACCAACACTCATCAAGAGTATCTTTGTTTTATTTGTGTTGAATCTCAGTTTATTAACCCTTGTCCAGTCCATTAAGCTGCTTGGGCAGAGTTCTTCATCCGCAGTCCTTCTGAGCTGGACATATTTTCCATGCTGGTCAGTGGTCAGCTGGAATTGACCAAGTGCCAACCACATCTCTATTCTCAGGTTCCAGTAACTGGAAGCCATCTAGAAATATGGGACCCAATGATGCTGTATATTAACCACAAGGGCCAAACAATTTCACCCTCGAGAGTGTCCTGCAAATGTGTAACAGCTAGCAACTGAGTTCTACCTTGGCCAGATGGTAATTGGCTCTGCAGCACTCAGATATGCTCCTCTGGAAAATGATTGAGGAGGAAAAAATGCTTTTTCCACCTCTATCATTGCCACATCGTAGGCTAGATAATGGGCTGTAATGCAGTCAAACTCATCATAAACTTTTTTTCTCCTATGTCAGGGTGTTTTGAAGAGAACCACAGAATCTCCCCTTCTCTTCATTAATCCACTCACACTCTTAAAACAGTTTGATATATTCTGTTTGTCAGTTATCTTTCTGTAATGTTAGCTGTAGTGCCAGCGCAGTTTGAGAATAGTGGTGTCCCCACCCCCACCCCCATTTTTGAACACTTTGTGTGCTCCTTCAACAATAGTGAGATCCTTCTGAAATGCAAGTATGTTGACTATGGATTCAGTGTAAATAAACTGCATTCAGAGGTGTTAAAATAAATGATACATTCATGTTATAAATTGCTTATTGGCATCACAGATGGGAGTCTAGTTTACTTATCTGATGGTTTTGTCAAGATAGCCAGCTAGAAAACAAAAGTTCATTTTTGATGCTACGAAAAGGGTCAGAACACATGCTTAAAGATAACTAGAATTGCTAAAGGAGGACAAGTAATATGTTGAATGAAGTTGTATCATAATTATAAAGATAATAGTTAAAACCAATCCTGGTTTGTGTTACACAAAGGTGAGGAATGTAACATGAACTTTATATGTTCAGTATCTGTAAAATTGCATATAATTGAATTTGGAGAAGGGTGAGAAACAACCAACAGCGTATTGCGGTAAACACATTTTCACAAACAAAACTGTAGAATCCTGAAACAGGGAATGTATATTAAATGTTTTTAGGGTTGAACCTACTTGGTGTTACCAAAGTGTACTGGCCACAGTAAGCAATTAAATTCTATAATAGGATAAGCAGTTAGTAATGTGCTAATTGCAGTGATAGGATTTTTTAATGAACTTACTCTAGGGAATGAAACATTAATTGAAGAGAGATAATTCAAAGCCATTTGGAAAGCCTACAGGGTTTACCAGTCTCGGCTCTAAAATGTCTTGCTGTATAGCATTAAAGAAAATATTTTGCAGAGTTGTCAAGTGCATGTGACAGGGGTAGAAACCTTTTTTTTTTTTAACCCTTAGAAGCTGTATAAAACTTAGTTGTAATTAAAATCAGCAGATCACACTGTAGAGAAGCCCACCATACATTGAATTTGGAAGGTCAAGGTCAGTTTTTTATTATATCCAGTGAGTTACTTCATCAAAATTTATTCAGATCTCCTGATTTAGTTGTTCTCACCAATCACTTGGGAACAACCATAACATTTTCTGAGAAGAGAATAGTGTGATATGTGTGACTTTTGATATGTTAAACTAATTCATTCCTGGCATTCCTTGAACACAGGATGCAAGGCGCTGTGTTGACTTCTTTCCACCAAGCAGAGAAACTTGGTGGACTCTCAGATGCTCATCTATACTGATTTTTTTATAATTGTTTAATGTGGCTTCTGATTGGATAGAACCCCCATAGAGGCCCTCTGTACCTGCCCCCTCGCTGAAATAGGGTGACTGGTAACCAGACACATCCTTTCTTTTGAATTGTACTTCCACTGAGGCATAGTCTTTTTCTTTTCTATAAATGTGTAAAACAGTGATATACCTAGCAACCTTATGATAACATGCAACCAATAATAAATTGGTTAGGCTTTAAGATGCACCAAATGTTTTTACTGTTTTTTTGCTGCAAGAGTTTAACACAACTATTTCTATGGAAGTTGTTACTGGGCAAACATTCAGGTTGCAGATTGCACCTGCCACGAACAGAACATGCTTCTTGGGGAGCCATTCATATTAGCTCCACATTTCTGCAATGTGCCTACATGCTGGCCGCACACATGGTTCTCTTGCTTTTTTTCTAGAAAAAAGAGGTACTTTGACCGACAACCCTAAGTTGAGGAGATTTTTTTCAGGGGGAGGGGGGAGAAACGCACTGCCCCACCACCTCCGACACATGCACACAGCTGCCAGTATGCTACAAAAGGCTGCCAAAACACACCAAAGAGGTGGTGGAACTCAGTTCTGGTGAGTTACGGCTAAAAAAAGCCCTGTTAAAGGGCTTATCTAAAGCTAGAAGAGAGGCAGATGAACTTCATTGTGTGACATCGCGGAGAGGAGATGAGGGGATCAGCAGCTGTGGAGGCAAATTGAGCAAGAGCTGTCCCTAAATAATTGCAGGACTATTTTAGGAACTTTCTAGTTAGGCTTGTAGTGTAGCAAAGAAAGTTCTTAATAATGACATAGTGACTTCTGTGAAAGTACAGTTGTTTGTAGTGAGAATTAAAACAATGGTAGAACTGCCACACATACATTCATACTGATAGCTGTTTAAGATCAGTTATTTTTTCATTATAATTTGTATTTGTTTAAGCTCTTTGGACTTTGTCTTGCATTAAGTATCCCATTTGTATTCCACCCCATTCTCCATTTCATTTAGTATTCCACAGATGGAGTTCATTAATTACGCAGATTATGCTGCAGCCCTATGGACTTCTAATGGATATGCAGGATAGCTTAAGGGGTCCTGCTTGGGCTTTGTGAATTAAGAAGTGTGGTATATAAATAGTGAAGAATGAATGTAAGAAAATAGACCAAGTCCCTGGGGATTTTTCCTGTCAAATTTCAATTAACATTTTCAAATCAAGGTAGATTTCCACAGAGAAAACTTGTTTTTGTAGCTGTTCACCAGAATAATTAACTTTCTGTTTGTGTGTGTGTGTGTGTATGTGTGTGTGTGAGTGTGTGTGTGTTAGGATTTAGATACATCATACTTCAGCTTTGTATTAATTTCAGATGTGAAAGATATGCTGCTTGATTAAAATCTGTTCAGAATGCTACCATCTAGTTTTATAAAAAAAGGTAAAGGACCTCTGACAGTTAAGTCCAGTCACAGACAACTCTAGGGTTGCGGCACTCATCTTGCTTTACAGGCCAAGGGAGCCGACGTTTGTCCGCAGACAGTTTTTCCAGGTCATGTGGCCAGCATGACTAAGCCGCTTCTGGCGCAACGGAACACTGAAACCAGAGCAGTGCACGGATATGCTGTTTACCTTCCTGCCAGAGCGGTACCTGTTTATCTACTTGCACTTTGACGTGCTTTCGAACTGCTAGGTTGGCAGGAGCTGGGACTGAGCAACGAGAGCTCACCCCGTCGCAGAGATTCGAACCACTGACCTTTTGATCGGCAAGCCCAAGAGGCTCAGTAGTTTAGACCACAGCCGCCACCCACGTCCCTATCGTGTTTTATAGTTGATAGTAATGAAATGGCAAAAAGAAAAGAAATGTATATACCAGTTAAAAGAGGCAAATACAAGCTCTGTTATCTGATACTTCAATGGCTATAACAACAACAATGGCAAAACTAACATTATTTTTTTGAAACCTATATAGTGTATAAATTATGTATATAGTGTATATAGTGTACAAATTATTCCAGCAGGGTCTTTTTTGTCTGATATCCTCCCAGCATCTCCTGTAAGCAAACTTCTTGAGCAGTTAGAGATCCACCAGGCAAAAGCTAAGGCCATGTGTTTCTTTCCCCTTTAATCTCTTGATCAGCAGCTGTTGTGTTAAGGGAGCTTAAAATGGGAGGTCTGCTTATTGATGTCAAACTTTTGTACTCAATATGCATTTCAGAATATCCTCTGATTTGCCAACAGAACATTCTGTTGGAGGGTTTTCTTCAATACATTGGAAGTGCTGTAAATGAAAAAGAAAATTAGTTCAACTAGTAAAAATATGGGATGGATTTCAGTTCGTGCCTTTGCACTCATTGAATAATCTTTGAGCCATGGGTGGGGTCTGCAAACAAAAGGGGGGCAGATGCTATTTTTCTCGGCTGTCTTCCCCCTCTAGCCCCAACAGCCCTGATAAATTAGCCCCAGAGACTTAGGAGATCCTCAGAGCAGGCTGCAAGGTGTCAGCGGAAGGGGAATCAGCAAAAATTGCCTCCCTCCCTCTTATTTTTATGGCATTTGTGCTGGATCAAAAGCTATTCCATGTGTAAAGGTAATGGTAAAGGTACCCCTGCCCGTACGGGCCAGTCGTGACCGACTCTAGGGTTGTGCGCTCATCTCACTCAAGAGGCCGGGAGCCGGCACCATCCGAAGACACTTCCGGGTCACGTGGCCAGCGTGACGAAGCTGCACTGGTGAGCCAGCACCAGTGCCGCACACGGAAACGCCGTTTACCTTCCCGCTATAAAGCGGTACCTATTTATCTACTTGCACTTAAGAGTGCTTTCGAACTGCTAGGTAGCAGGAGCTGGGACCGAACGATGGGAGCTCACCCCGCCGCGGGGATTCGAACCGCCGACCATATGATCGGCAAGTCCTAGGCACTGAGGTTTTACACACAGCGCCACCCGCGTCCCTATTCCATGTGTACAAAGGCATAAATTGGATTCTAGCCACGGTTAGAATTATAGGCTTTTCGATAATTCACTTCAACATGCTAAAAAATTGTTGATAAGATTTTTAAATTTTATTTTTGGACATAAGAAAGCATCAAGTTAAACGTTACACCCCCAAGGTATTAAAAAGGGCCAAGTTGTGTAATTAATCTCTTGCATTTTTATTATTTCCATGTTTTTATGGAAATTAATTTTTAAGAATCTCTCTGGAGGCTTAAGCTTTCAAACTACACAGACTAACTTATTTGTGTTCCGCTCAGCCCCAGCAACCTTCACATTGTTGCCTGGATACTCCATCTCCTGTAGTATCTGTAAATTGGCCAATTCAACAGCAAGATTGCTAATCTGATTTTTTTTTAAAAAGCATATGGAAAGGTAATTGGCCTAGCAGCATCTGAAATACTTTTTCAAAATCTCTTTGCCACCTCTTCCTTCCATCCTTTCTCTTGCGAATTATCACAGTGGGAGACTTGTATGTAGGAAGCTTCCTGTATGGCTCCTAGAGACTAGCTTGAATTGTTTGATGGTGCACTATTAGACTGGCGTGCAACAAGGAAGTTTTCTATTGCTAAAAACGTTGAGATTTCAAAATACAGATTCCCCCAGTTTCTTGTAAATGCCACCATCTGCAGAGTATCTGCTAAATTAATTTGTGGCATGGCATACAAATATAGATACAGAAGCTCAATTTGAGACAAGTGGTGAAGTGAGTATATGTGCATCTATTGTGTGCCAAGCAGCTCACTAAAGATTCCTGAGTAACCTTAGCAGTAATGGAATAAAATGAGAAGTCCGCTTGTGGATCAGTAATTGGTTAAGAAGCAGAGAGCAGGAAAAACTGGACAGTTCTTTCAGTGGAAGGATGTAAAAAATGAAGTCTGTGAAGGAGTCTGTACTTTTTAAGTTGTTCATAATCAATTTAGTGTCGGGGTGCGCAGTGAGGTGCTTAAAATGAAAGGAGACCATGAAGAGCTCCAGAAGAATCTCTACAGACTGAGTGAATGGGCAGTAAATTAGCAAATACAACTTACATTAAAGTGTAAATTGATGCACATTAGGGCAAACAAGTCTTATGCTCCATTTAACATAGTGGCACTTACTTCCAAGTAAACATGCATAGTTTTGCTTTGTAAATGCACATTCAGACTTCTGGTATACCAAATAGGTATTGATGTGGTTTTGCATATGAAGGCTGCGAGTGAACTCTGTAGAATTTGCCCATGTCACTTTGGTTCTTAGACACAAAAGGTCTCAATGTCTTCTATTTCACTTTTCCCTTCCTGAAATAGTATTATATCTACAAATCCAACCATAACTAGAAGTTTTCTCATTTGTATATTCTGTACTTTTCACTATGTGAAAAGTAAGGGTAAGGTGTCATACAGTGTGCTTATATTGAAGTGATAGCATGGCACCCCCTTGTGGTTTAAGTTAGTTTTAAAAGTCTGATATAAAGTAGCAAAGAGTTGCCATTTAATTGACCAATTTCTTTTGAACACTTGTTCAGACACAGAATGGAACTTAAGTTAACATTCTTTTTTAAAAACCACCTCTATTGCCTAATGCACACATTTTATATTAAAATATATATTTTTAAATTCTTTTTTCTTTTTAAAGAAACCTACAATAGCGCAAATGTCAATGCAGTGAATGGAGTAAAATCTTTGTAGACAATGCAGTGTATTGAGCTTCAGGAACTTTGTGTTATATAGTCTCACATTAGGACATTAACCAAAATTAATAGGTTGCTATTGTAATTCCAAAAATTATTAGTAGGAAAGACTGGTGAAAGGTATGTCTAAACTGTAGTGGAGATTATTTTATTTTGTGTTCAAGAAGCTGTACATCTCTCAGCTTGACTCTTTCTATAATTGGTATCCTCCTCTAAGAAAAGGTTTCATGCTGGGAATGAGCAGCAGGAGAGACAACATGGCTTTGACCAAGAAAGTAAATGCAGGACTTTCAGCTTCTGCCTTCTGGAAGAAGGTACAGGGTTATAAAGACTAGGAGTAGCTGCCTGAGAAACAGTTTCTAATCAAATGCGATTTTGGTTTTAAACGCAGTGTAAGGTAGTCTCTATGGGAGTATATTGTATTTAATTATGGGGTATCAGAGTTTTGGGGGGGCTAACCAGGCTGGGATAGCTGAGATAGCAGGCTTGTTGGTTTTTGAATGTCTGATGAAGATTCTTTCAGTTTCATTGTTCTGTATGGGACAATGACAATAAAGATGATCGTATCGTATCGGACCACCCTTAACTCACCACTGCATAATTTAAGAGCTCTTCAGAGTTGTCTGGATGTAAGAGATTCCTATGGTGGCAGTATAACTCTCAGGCAGGGTTTGGAAAGTTGTGAAGGCTTAGTCGTTACTTCAGAAAAAGAGGAGAGGAAAATACTTTTGAAATAAGTAAGCAGTTAAAGAGTAAAAACAACTCAGACTCTTCATTGATTTTTAACTGTGGCTTGATCGCATTGCATGAGCAGAGCACACTTCTGCCTGCACAGGTAGGAAGTGGCAGAGAAAGCCATCTCCTCCATCTGCACTCCCTGTGCCTCCGAGACAAGACTTCAGATGTAGGAATAGCTGGCTATCTTGGACATCAGCAGAAGAGCCTTTCACTCTTGAAGTGGGATCCTAGGATGCAAACAAACAAATGTAGCTGCTTTAAAACACACACCAGAACACCCCCCTCCTCCAAAGTGATGTAATGAAATTGTTGTCGTCTTTCCCCCTTATATACGAAAGTCTTGTTGGAAAGGTTGAGATCAGTCCTGATGCTAGTCACTGATTTGCACTGTGATTTCATGGGATCCTTTTAGCAAGGGGTAGCTGGCTGCTTCAGCTTTGCAAAATGCCACATGCATTTATGATATTAATCAAGGTGTCTAGGCTGTGCAGTGGTAAGAGCAAACCTGTCTGTCAGTAATGGGAAAGAAGCATATAAGAGCGGAGCTGTTAATGAAAACTGCTTGGTGGCTTTGGTCTAATTTTCACTCCACTGAGTTGCTGTCCTCTGGTTTGTGCAAAAGCACACTGTTACCATGTCACTCCTGGATTAAAATGTAGTTTGGCAGTTTAGTGGGTGGCGGCTTGAAGTGAAAATGAAAAGAAGCACCCAGCTGTGTTTCATTCTGATTTGATTTTTTTTTTGTAGTTTTCTGAATGGTAGCCAGTTTCTTTAAATGGTTTTTCTGTGCTAGGTTTTTAAATTGGCATGTACTGATATTTGGAAATTGGCTTATGAATTTAAGTTAACTAGATTTAAATACAGTCATACCTCGAGTTACAGATGCTTCGGGTTGCACGATTTTGGGTTGCGCACCAGAACTGGTTACTTCCGGGTTCTGGTGCTTGCGCATATGCAGAAGTGTTAAATCGTGCTTTGTGCATGCACAGAAGTGCCGAATCATGACCTGTGTGTGTGCACATGCGGCGCTGTGGGTTGCGAACACTGCAGGTTGTGAACATGCTTCCCGCACGGATCACGTTCCCAACCCGAGAGTCCACTGTACATCCAGATTTATGCATTTTATTATTTTTAACTATCTAGAGACTCAAAGCACCATGTAAAATATAATACTCTTCCAAAAGGATTTTACAGCATCAAATAGCCTATGGGTACCTGTATTGTATTTGAACTGATTTTATGTATGTGCTGCTGCTGTTTTAAATTGTACATATGTAATTGGTTTTTTAATGTTCTCATAGTTTTTATATATGCAGTTTTTATATATGCAGTTGCTTTAACTGTATTCAGATATGTAACTGTTTAGATTTGCTTTTGGTTTTATTATTTTGTATATTGTTTTGGCTCATGAGAAGTGATTTGTAACGAAATAAATAATAATATGATATAAGAAGGTGAAAATGCAGCCTAACTTGCATGCAGCAATATTAATAGTAATTTAGAGGAAGCGTGGATCTCCTGCTCTTCTTGTTCCAAGCTAGAGTTTTTCTGCTTATTTCTTATTTGACATTTTCATAGGATGAAACCATGTACTATACAAACGTGTTCATCACAGTAATTTCTCACCTCTCTTTTAAGAAAATAAATCCCCAGAAATTGGTACTGAACCATCCATTGCCTACCACTCCACACACCAGATACGTTGTTTTTCTCTTTTATGAAGATAGTAGGTCATTTCATAGAGATCATATAGAAAGCTAACATTGTCCTGACAGCAAAATAGTAGCTCTGAAATAGTGCATCCTGGGTTACAGCAGCACAACTTCTTTGGAGGTTTTCTTATGTATTTTTAGCTGTTAATAGATAGATAGATAAATTTATTGTCATTGTCCGTATATACACAGTATACACAACAACGAAAATCAAACACCCACTCGAAGACCGGGTTCACATACACATTTGCACGTATCTCCAACACTCTCATCCTATTCAGACATAATCTATAAAAACATATCATACTCCAGAATGTAACATAACCTATTAAAAGCATAACATAACCTAACATAACTGTTGCGTTTCTTCCCTCTTCCTCCCATCACACGCTGGTTTTTTCAGACCTTAACACCCATCTGCATGGCTGCATATTTCATTTCTTTTAAGAGCAGAGTTTTGTAGTTCCCTCCCGCCACCCAGCAGTAGGTATGCCTTCATAATGAAATGGTGTGACTTGACATAATTAGAGCACTTTAATCTTTACAGCTTCTTCATGTGTTTAAGAGTTTTTGTTTGGTTTATCTCCTTTAGGAAACCTTCCCACCCTCAGCTTGAAGCTTTTATTAGCCATATGTCTAAAGGATCAGAAACCCAAATGGATGGCACTCTGAGCAGCATGCCTCGTTACCCCAGCCATTCACTGTGTGAAATGGGAGAGCTTACACAGACAGGTGATTTTCTACAGCTGTTTTATTTCCATGTCCAAAAGAAACCAGCATGTCAAGAGGCTCTTTGGTTCTTAATTGGAACTTCCTAGGTGCTTGTTAAGGGTTCAAAAAAATGATTTTTCCAGGGGACATCGCTGGTACTTTCTAAAGGATACCATGGTTGTAATAGCAATATCCCAATTGTTTATGGGTTGTTGATTTTTTTAAAAGAGAAAATTGTCATATTTCCTTCTTGCCTGTACAACCATTTAAGACTTGTGCAACTAACATTTTTGAAAAATGTTTTTATATTCTTAGCATGATCTGCCCACCCCAGCCATTACCCTTTCACATGGATTCTATGAAGTGACTGCATGAGCAGAAAGCAGCTCAGGCACTCAATATTTTTATACTCCTTCCTGTGCAACCGCATGTACCCCCAAAACCTTCTCAGGGGTGGGGGGTCGGCCAGAGTTTGGTGAACGTTTGGAGCTATGTCACATGGGAGGGAAGATGCTTCTGAAATTGGACAGAGAGATTTTGTGCCATTGTAGCTGCCACTGGAGCAAGATAGTTCTGCTCCATTTCAGATGATTTCCCCCTCACATCACAGCCCATGTGACACAGCTCCCAAAAGGGTCAACCTTTGACCCTCTTGAGAGGATTTTTGACTGGGTGCTTCAGAGGGGAGGGAAAGAAAGAATAAGGTAGGTTGCATGCCTTATACCCAGGCAACTGCTGGATACAACACAATTTCTCTCACAGTACAGTGGTTCCTCTAGTTACGAACTTACGGTAATTTGTTCCGGAGATCTGTTCTTAACCTGAAGCTGTTCTTAAATAGAGGCATGCTTTCGCTAATGGGGCCTCTTGCTGCCACTGCGCCGCCGGCACACGATTTCCGTTCTCATCCTGGGGCAAAGTTCTCAACTCAAGTTAACTCTTCCAGGTTAGCGGAGTTTGTAACCTGAAGCGTTTGTAACCTGAGGCGTTTGTAACTCGAGGTACCACTGTACCCAAGATCACTCTCAAATTATTTTGTAGAAGAAAGCTTACCTTCTTCTTTTTCTTTTTTGAAGGGATTGTACAGCACTTGCGAAATGGACAACTACTGCGGAATATTTATATAAAGAAGCATAACTTGATCCCAAGTGACTGGACAAGTAAACATTTGTATTTGGAGACAACTGGAAAGAGTCGAACACTACAGAGTGGGCTGGCACTACTATATTCCTTCTTGCCAGAATTTGATTGGAAGAAAATTAACTTTAGGCACCAGTGGAGCACAATTTTTTGTTCTGGAAGCTGTGATTGCCCGATAAGAAACCATTACCTAGAGGAGGAACAACGGCGTCAGTACAGCCTACGGGTGAAAAACATACACTTGGAGAAAACGTATGCAGATATGGCAAAGATTGTCGGCATACCCACAAGGCAGTTAAGGGCTTCTAACCCTGTAGATTCTATGCTGTGTCATTTTTGCCATAATGTCAGCTTCCCATGTACCAAGAATGGCTGCATTAACCTTGAGCACTTTAAAACAATCAAGACGCATCAACTTGAAGATGAAAAAGAGAGGCAGGAGAAGAAATATTACTACTTGTATGCGCTACTGGCCACTCATCCTATCCTTAACCAGACAGCCAGTCGTATGCAGCGCATTGCAGAAGGCAAGAGAGAAGAACTATTTGTCCTTTATTCTGCTCATGATGTCACCTTGTCCCCTGTTCTGAGTGCCTTAGGCATCACTGAGGCCAGGTTCCCAAGATTTGCAGCCAGACTAGTCTTTGAGCTGTGGAAAGATGGAAAGAAATACAAAGAACATTTTATCCGCATCCTTTATAACGGTGTTGATGTCACATTCCAGACTTCATTCTGCCGGGATTATAACAAACATTACACCAAACTGATGTGCCCCTTAGAGAAATTTGTTCGTTTTGTTAAACAAGACATGTTCTCACCTTTTAATAGCACCAATTACTATGATGCATGTCACAGGAGGCCATTCTAAACAAGGGAGGAGTAAAATGTTGCATTTTGTATTGTCAAAAAAATTGTCTCCAAGGCAGGTTGACACTGTCAAATCCTAGTGTGCCTAAGTGCAAATGAATATAGCTTGAAGTGGTTTTGTCATTTCCCCCCCCAAAATGCATTCTAGATTGATATAAAATGTCATCAATTCATAATGTTTGTCAACCTTAGCAGCACAGGGCCTATGTTCTTTTGTGCTCCAACTTGATTTGTCTCTTAGCTGCTGTAAAATGGATATTGCTTGAAGAACTGAATGAGTGCATTCCAGTTCCTTGTTGTTCCACTGTAAAAGTTGCCACAGTAAACACAAACCATACTTGTCATAATTGAAAGTATCCTTCATTCCACGAATCCATTCATACGATCTAGCTAAAGTAGGAATCATTTTTCCTTAGGGCAAAAGTGTATTATCGGCAGGCTTTGTTTTTGTTTTTGTTTTGTTTTGGTTTTTTGTTTTGTTTTTTTAAAGGTGCATGGATTCAAATGCTTCTGCAAACGCTTCTGATGTGTTCAAGAGAACTTCTAGCTACTATACAGGGACTACTTCATACATGATGTAGATGCTGTAAAGATTGTTACTTCATGGTAGAGGCTGCCATGTTTGACATGGCTTTTTGTTGTGTTTGGTTAGAACACATGTGAATCTACATCAGCATAGATGACTTCCTAGGAGGCATTAGCAGTCAGAAATATGTTTTTTTGAAATTACCTGTACAGGCAATCCACACAGGAAGCCATTTATATATAAAATCAGCCTCCTTGTGGAACCCCCAGCATATAGAAGTGTTTGGGTTTTCTTTAGGTAAGGAGCTATCATATTATATACAAAGCAGCCCCTGGGGTAGATGAAAAGAAAAGTTCCGTTCTTTGCACTTTTAGCACTTTATGTGTACTTCAAACACAAAGTACAAGTTGTGTCAGATGCTAGAAAGGATTCATACACAAGAAGTGAAAGCTTAAAATCGGGCTTCGGATACATTCTTTAGGAACTGTTTATGTTGTTCAGATCATTTGTGCTGTGATAAGAAGCAATGTGTTATAGCCGTATGTTGTAATGGCTGCATGTAGCCAAACAAGAACTTGACTTAATGCTTAATTTTGTAGTCCATTTAGTACTTTTATAGACTAGGAAGACATTTTATAAGCTCAGTCTTGTTTTTTACTGTCTGGTGATTGTACTATAGTGTACTAGGTTTTTTTTTAACCTCCTTTGTAAAGGGATGCCAAAAGCTGTTTTTCAACACTTTACTTTGGGCGTAGAGAAAGATTCAGAAATCTATTATAAATAATTTTACTGGATAAATTAATAATGCATATTAACTCAAATTTTAGATTCCTTACATCGGGTTTTTAGACAGCTTGGAAAAGCATTTTGTTACTATTGGAATGCTGAGTTTTGTAATGTCAAGAGTTTTTAACACAACCTGAAACCAGACTTTAGTGTAATTTGTATTGAAATGGTGGTAGCAATTAAAAGAAGCTGTAATTTGTGTTCTGACTTTATTGGCATTTCAGCCCCCTTTTGAAAACAATGCATTTGAATGTTCTATAAATAAAGTTTTGAAAAAAAATCTTTGAAGTGGTTCCTAAAAGCCAATATTTCTGTTTGTGCTCTTCTTTGCCTAATCGGTTATGTCAAAGGTTTGTTGCCATATTGGTTGTTGAAATTTAATAGATTCTTAATTAGTGGTGCTTGATACATCACAAGGATACTAAAAGCTTCATAGAAAATATGTAACTGCAAAGAAAGTATGTAACTGCAGAAAAGCTTCAAGCTCAAATATGAAGCTAGGTTACTGCAGTATTTGTGATAGTTGTTCCTATGAAAAGCCTGCCATTTTATTCTATTCAGAACACGTTCAGGTGGTCTTGCTCAGAATAAACCTGTCAGACTACCTATTCCTCAAGAGCAAAATCAGTCATAGACAAATGAGAAAAGCAGGCACAGAAAGGAGAATTCTGTGCTTTGCCTCTAAGTTTTGTACCTTGAGTCAAACAAAGAGGAATTATTCCCTGACCAGTCAAGACCAAAAGAGAGTATTAAAAAATGGGGATGAAACCTGCAAAGTGTTCTAAAAAAAATCCTCATATACAAAATGTGGCAACTTCTAAACACAATAATGAAAGAGAATAAATGCAACCTTAAAAGCCTTACGGTTAGGACCGAAGGAAAGGTTTTTTTTAATGAACTTTGCATAGGTACAATGCTACATTATCACTACTCAAGCAGATATTGTTGGCTGTTATAAACAGCAGTATGCAGAAAAAAATCCTATCCAGAAAGAGATTAAATTATACATAGAATATCTTCCTTGTTCTTGCATGCTTTGCATGTAAAAAGTCCCAAGTAGAATCTAGTCTTTCGAGGTAGCGATGGGAAACCTTGGAAACCTTGGAGTGGCGCTGCCAGCCAGGGTTGACAAAATGGGTGCACCAATGGTCTGACTTGGTATAAACTGCTTCCCATGTATCTGCAGACATAGAATCCTAGAGTTGGAAAAAGTTAAAGCATTATCTCGTCCAACTAGCTGTCATTTTGCAGGAAATTCTTTACTGCTTTACCCCTGTAAACCAGTCTCTTGCCTTATACAAGCTTCAATGAAAGAGAGTCCTCCAAGACTATCTGTTACACATTTGAACACCTCAAGGCATCAGAGAGTGTTTCCTAATGTTTTATCTTATCAGAATTTCCATTCTGGGGATTGCAACAAAAGCTGGCAAAAAGATGTTATTTCTTCTACGCTCTTATTCTTAGATCCACTTTTTTTGTAGACGTGTCAATCCTCTGCAAGATTTTAAACCTCAACGCCACCCTGTGGCAATGTTGATTTGATTTTTCATGTTTTTTGAAACTGTGTAGGAAAGGCTTAGGCTTCCCTCTTGTGGCCAAATGTAATAGTACCTTGGAAAGTAATTGCAATTAAAAGCTATGCTCCTAAGAGGAAAAACAAGTAAAGTTCTTTCTACAGATTTTTCTAAACAAGCGGATTGTCAGCATTCTGACTAGAGAGATCAGTTTAGGGCAATATTTACATCCTCAAACCTTATACATTTACAGAATTATTATCAATGATAAACACATATTATATTGCATCGTATTTATGTGAGCAAAATGTAAGAGACATCAGAACAATTGTGGAAAGTCTGGCCCAGTATATAATGGCAGAGGTTTTCCATTCTTCCACTCCTCAGCTGCCGCATGTGAGAGAAATAAAGGACACAAACCCTGAAATAGCTGATAGTCATTTATTCAAACCTCTGCCATTGTTTAAAGCTGCTACTTTCCTCTCAGTTTCCTCCATCCCTGCTTCACTTAAACTTCTGCCATTGTTTCAAACCACTAGTCTCCCCTTTCACTCCCATGCCATAGCTGCTATTGTGCAACCTGCCTTCACTTTTTCTCCTCTATTCCACCCTGACTTCCAGGCTTGCGATGAAGCACTACAAATCTTCCAATGGGGGCTGCGCCATGACATTCTTATGTTTTTATTATAGAGAGAGCTATGTTTCCCCCTAATTCCTTAAGAGTCAGTTCACCTGAGACAAAAGTAGCTGTCCACCAAACATTTTGGAGCGACTTGCCTTCACAATAGTTGTGCAATTGAGAAATGCAACCCTTTAGATCACAGCAGTCTGCACACAACTCATGCAACGGTGCAAGTAGTTAGTTCTGAACTATGCCTTGGCAGAAGTGCGAGTAAATGCAACCAGGCAAATGGCTTGGCTCAAGTGAAGCCACTCTTTGCAGCTATATGGCAGTGTCCTGGTTCCCATGATGGCGATCTCAGTTTTTAACCTGGCCCCTACAACAGGAATCAGTATGAGCACAAAAAGAAGAACCTAACAGCCCCTAGTATCCGCATGTGGAGAACAGATTTCCAAGGCAGTTCGCATGGTTGTCAACAAGGTTCCTTGGGGATCAAGTCTCATGGCATGCAAAACTAGCTCTGCCATATGATTTAGTTGACAAAAAGTGGCAATTAGAAATGGTGTCAACTCAAAGCAAGAAGAACAATGCGCTGGGTGCATTGCCGCCTTGGGCTAACATCTGTCACACTAAATATTTGCAAATAAACAAACCTATTAAAGTCAAAGTCTCCTTATGGATAATTTGCAAACATGAAAAGCGGATAAACTAATTTGATAAACAGACTGCCTTGAATAGTTGTCCTTGACATAAAAACGTGTTAATCACTTGTTTTTCCATGGAACAGTGGTGCAGGGTTTTTTAAAAAAATAATAATTGAAGCTGTAAAGCAAACAAGGCTTGAAGTGTCCTTGCTGTTTTCTGTGAAGACTAGTTTAAGACACAGAAACGCAAGCAATCTACCCACAAAACTAACATAAATAGGAAAAAATAATAGGCCAGCTCTAAAAGGATACTCACTATCTCAGCACAGGCTTCCATGTGTACATCCAAATGTGTACATGAAAAACCTTTAATAATAAATAATAATAATAATAATAATAATAATAATAATAATTTATTTGTACCCTGCCCATCTGGCTGGGTTTCCCCAGCCACTCTGGGCGGCTTCCAACAAAGACCAAAAATACACTAAAATGTCACACATTAAAAACTTCCCTGAACAGGGCTGCCTTCAGATGTTTTCTGAATGTCAGGTAGTTGTTTATCTCTTTGACATCTGATGGGAGGGCGTTTGGAAAACAAACCTTTTGTACACAGTGGCTCTATATGCAAATCTATCCCCTCTGTTGAAATGAATATGGTCTTGAGTATCCTCAAGAGAAATATGCTATCTATACGATCATGTCCACACTAATCATGAGAGTAATTCTTCACAATGATAAACCCTACACGAGAAACACATAAGACAATTCCAATACATTTCCACATGTTCTTCCACATGTCAAAGACGCATCAAATGCAACAAATCGGGGCCATTTGTAGGAATAGTCCTACCAAAAGCCTACATTTTGAGGAAGAAAATTTAAGAAACCTATGAAGTGCCTGTCTGA